TTTATTAAAAAAGCATATTATGCCTAAAATGTAAGGATTTTGACATATTCCACTTTTTGTGAAAATGAAGAATAAAATTTAAATTTCAATAACAGCTATCTAAATTGTAATTTATCCTGTATAGCCTGATATTTAATTACGTAAACCATTGTATGTTAAACCAAATTAAAATTTTACACGAAAAGTTGTACAGGGTGAGACAAAACTAATATGGAACATTGGTTACTTATAAAAGCTACTCCTATATATTTAAAGTTACTCCTATATTTTAAATGGAACACCCAGCATATTATTCCGGTATTCAATGGAGAATTCATATATCTTCAAAATATTATTAAGGTTGCCTACACCTGAAACAAAATTTTTCCTATATAATTTCCTTTTTATGATTTCGCGCCACTAGATCTTATTATTTGAAAAAAATCTTGGTGGCTGTGCTAATCTGTTAATTTAACAAAAATTAAAGGATGTAGGGCAAAATACTGTAATAAAAAGATACACGTTTAAAACATATCTTAAGTATCACATAATTAACACTAGATATGAACCTACACTGAAAAAAGAAGCTATTTAACCTGAATAAAAATGGAGTGCAGCAAAATAAATATTTGTTTCCTATAAGCGGAATAAATATTTGTTTTATATTATTTGAAAAAATATTTGAACTTTGCTAAAAATTTTTGTTTAAGTCAAAAATATAATTATTTAATAAACAATATTTTTATTTCCACCAAAGAAATCAGTTTGTTTCTTGACCCTAGCAAGGTCTTTGTATTATGTAAAAATTTGTTTAACGTGCAGCATCTAATTATTCTCTGTAAATAAAAGATTATGTCTTTACAAAATAAATTACGTTTGCTTCAAAGGAATAGTAATTTAAAACCAAATACTTTTTCAATTTACCTGAATACGCAAGTTGTTTGACTTGTTTTGACGTTTTTTTATTCCAAAATACCTATTTGTTTGGATTAACCAAAATGATTTGTTTGACTCAAAATAAAATGTGTACAGGGTTTTCTTTTATATTTGACACCCTCTATAGAGACCTTATTTTTGAAGCTAGTAAAGAACTTCAAATATAAAAGTTGAATGATTTTTTCCATAGCATCTTTTGAATCTATCAGAAAAAATAAATGCACATCGGAAAGTGGAAAAAAAATCAAAGTTTTATGTATTTTTATTAAAATACCCTGTATAATAATAGCGAAGAGGACTTTTATTTTATCTATAATAATAGACAGACTGTTTAATTCAAAAACACAACTTTGATTATTTTTTTTCAGTTTTCCGATGAGTTGTTTTTTTGTGATATATTTAAAACATAATAATAATGATATGGAAAAAATCCTTCCACTTTTGTATTTCAAGATTTTCATAGCTTTAAAAATAAGGTATCTAGATAGAGTGCAAAATATAAAAGAAAACCCTGTACAGTTTTTCTTCAGATTCTCGTATATACCACTATTTTTTGGTCCTAACTAATTAAAAAAAAAACAATAACATTTACTAAGTATATATTTATTGAAAGATATTATCACTATGACATGTGCACACAGATGCACTATTGAAGGGTCCATATAAAACAAAACATGTTTTTTTCTTAAAATATTGTGTTTCACCTAACATCAAATAACGTGATAAATACCTATACCTAATAATAAATATTCAGATAAACATCAGGAAATGGTACTTACAACGCTTTTACCATCCCCCGTGTAATGAATATTAAACGGAACTGGACAAACTTCTTTGTCAAAAGGATAAAGACGTACATACTTTGTACTATTTGGGTTAGAAACCTCAAACGCTTGTGCCTTAAAACTATATCCTACTGTTTCTAATAACGAATCTTCTTGATGGAACCTGATGGATTTAAAAAACGCCTTCAATCGTCCAAAGGCACTCACTAAACAGACAATCGAAAGCAGGAAAATTTAGAATACACAGAGACAATCTGCGGTTGAATTCATATTATCTGGAAAATTAGTGGTTTCAAATCACAAGGACAGTCGCATACATCACGCACTAGACACTAAGTCTCCGACGCGAACCGGTAAAGGAATACGGATGATGAAATAATTCGAGAAGGCAGGTCAACCCTACCCCTCAATTTTTCGCACGTACACCCGGACATGAATAAAAATTTATTTAATGTCAATAAGGTATTTTTTTGACAAAAATAAAATTACGAAATATGTAGAATGATGTTTGATAAATAAATAGTTATTTAATTAATTATAGAAAATATCAAACAAATATGAGGAAAATAACAATCAAGTCAGTTTACTTAAAGTAAACAAAATTTATTTTGAACAAACAATACTTATTTACGAAAAATAAAAATATGCCAAACACATCATTTATTTACATTTTTCTGTCGTTTATTTTCAGTGTATAATTATGTAACAAAAATTAGCTAGATGAAATCTAATCTAAAAGCTTCCTTTCCTGTTTACTGCATAAAATGATTCTCTTTTCAAAAGGTGTTAAAAGTCATGTTAAAAGGCATACGTAGAGTTTTACTTCAAAAAACAGCCACAATCATTTCTCTCATGTCGACAATAGTTGGTCGAGTTTTGTAAACGCTGTCTTTAGCATATCCCCATAAAAAAATCCAAGACTAGATAAAATCAGGAGCATTTAAGAATTCTATTAATTGGTGAATGCACACTGTATTCACCAACTAATAGAATCATATTAATTCTCTCTGATGTAGGATAAGTTTCCATTTTCGGAAAATTTCTGAGATTTTTTTTGTTTTAACTGACACAAAATGATAACTAGTTGCTAAAGTTGAACTAATTAGACGGCTATGTTGAAGTAACGTTAGATATATCACAGATCACAGCCACCCTAGATTTTATCAAATAGTAAAGATCTACTCACACTAAATTATAAAAATGATAATACCTAGGAAAATTTTTGTTTGGGGGTAGGTAACCTTAATAGTATTTTGAAGAGACCATTGACTATCAGAATAATATACTGGGTGTTCCATTTAAACTAATGGAGTAACTTGCTTTTACAGTTAACCAATGTTTAACATTAATTTTGCCTCACCCTGTATTATTTTTTGGGTCCGGTTTTAATTTGATTTAAAGTACAATAGTTATTTTAACTACGTGTTAGGCTATATTGGGTAAATTCTAATTTAGGTAGCTTTTATTGAAATTTAAAAATTGTTCATTTTTAGAAAATGTCAAATAAGTCAAAAACCTTACATTTCAGTCATATACTTCCCTAATAAAACTCACCTTTATTTTTCTCCTAGAATCCAAAAATCAAAAAAAAATAAAAATGTAAAAAAACACAACTTTGATGTGCAACTTTTTTTGAATATAATAATAATGAGAATTTACACAGTTTCTTCTTCATGCCCGTAGCATTATATGAGCTCCGTAGTACAATTAAAAGTATTAAAAACAAATCCTCATCTGGGACTGATGGGCTTACTCTCAAAATTTTCTCTGAACTGAAACGTTAATCTATCTTACTAATTAACAAGTCATTCCAAAAAGGAGTTTTTCAAAACTGTCTTAAGACAGCAATTATTCCTCTGCATAAAGGAGGAGATAAAGATCAAGCTTCGAACTATCGCCCAATTGCTCTCCTGCCCACATTATCTAAGATCATTGAAAGATTGGTTAAAAAAAAGACTTATATCTTTTCTTCTTAAATATAAAGTATGTACTTACTACCCATCAATTTGGATTTCTAAGTAACAGTTGCACAAATGATGCTATGTTCGACCTTTTTACTAATGCATACTCTAGCCTGAATAACCATCACTCTACAGCTACAATTTTCTGTGATTTCTCTAAGGCTTTCGACTGTGTAAATCATGATATCTTAACTAACAAATTGCAATATTATGGATTCAGGGGAGTGCCACTCGAATGGCTTAAGTCATATCTTGGCAACAGAAGGCAGCTTGTGAGGATGTCTAGTCTTCTTGTAAGCCTATAGAATGTGGTGTCCCTCAGGGTTCAGTACTTGACCCTATTTTGTTTCTGGTGTTTATCAAGGACATTGCAATTCTAGACATTAGCGGTAAAATCTGCTTCTTTGCGGACGATACTAGTTTCACTTGGAGCGGCTCAGATGTTACGGCACTATACGTATAATAGATAGATAGATATTTCTTTATTTATTTCCAATGCTTACAATAAAAACACATCAAATAGCCCAAACAGGCATGGAAACATTGTCAAATAAGAATATTACACACCAAAAATAATATAATTACAGTTAAGATAATACTACAATTAAACTAAGATCTTAACTAGGTAAAGTAAGTAAATACATAGAAGAAATAAAAACGACAGAATTAATATATACAAACAACAAATATTACACATTAGATATCAGACTTATAATAATACTGTCGCTGGATAATACTATATCCAGTACGCACCATACGCACCATTAAATATTGGTGCGATTCTAATCTCCTATGCCTCAACCTTTCAAAAACAAAAGTTTTGTCATATAAAAGTACTATACAACTTTTATACTTAATAACACCACTATTGGACTCTGTGAAATTTTTTTTGAATTGATTTGTATTATATGATATTTTTTTTTATTATATGTATTTTTTTTTGTACTTTTGTTTGTTGCTTGAATGCTGTGTCGATGAAGCTATTTTGGCTTTTTGTACAATAAAGCGTTGTTTATTATTTATTATTATTATTATTATTGAGGATACCCTGTAGAAGTCTATATTTTTCACAAAATTACATTTCAATACAAACTGTTGTTCTCCTTGGAGCCTCCGTGTCGTATGAGAGGCGCCACCCTGCATATCTCTTTCCGTCGTTTCCGTCGTCGGAAGCAAAAAAACACAAATAACAAAGAAAAAAAAACTATTTAAAATATCTAAATGCAACTATTCTAGAACACTTTAGTTTTTTTAACAGATACGTCTACAAAAACCGTTGGCATTCTGTTAAAAAATAAAACTCTGTACTCGGTATTAATAAAGTTTGTTGATGTTGTAGAATCGGGCAGCACGACGTCGTCGAGAGCACAGCCTCGTTCGAGGGATGAGAAGAAAGTCACGTCTTCGGAGAAACAGAAAAGTGGAAGTGCGAGCACCTCGTCCAGCGACATGGAAAATAAGACGAGTTCTGCTGCCGCCGACGACGTTTACGAATTTAAATCTGTAAAAGTAAGCGAAATTACACTATCGGACAAAAGTAGAGAAACTTTTTAAAATTGTGTCTTATTTGTTAACGCAGGGACTGAGGCCGTTTTGTGCATTGGTAAAATTAAAGATACTTAAATAGTTCTTATTTAAATGAAATCATCACATGTCTCACGAAAACTTAAGATTTTATTCAGTTAATTAAATAAAAAACTATAGGGACAAAAATAGAGAAACTAAAAATTAATATATATATTACAAGTACCTAGTTGATGCTAACCTAATAAAATTAATAATGGTTAGAGTAACCGTGATTAGCTATGACTTCACGACATCGCTTTGGCATGGAGTCCAATAGTTTTGTTATGATATCTGGTTCAATGGAATTCCAGGTCTTTTTCAAAATTCTTATCAAATCTTTCTTATTGCTAATGTAACTTCGTCTTATCCGGCGATCTAGTTCCTCCCACAGGTTTTCAATGGGGTTAAGGTCTGGACTTTCGGCAGGAAAGTCCATAACCCTAATTTGTTCAGACAAAAACCATTCTTGTAAAGGTTTCGATTTATACTTTGGATCATTATCTTGCTGCAATATCCAGGTTAAAGGCAAATTATCATCAGCAAATGGAATTATCACTTGCTTTAAGATGTCCAAATAAATAAATCGATCCATTGTTCCTTCTATTACATGCAGTGGTCCCATGCCGTAGCCCGAGAAGCATCCCCACACCATGCTTTACAGTGGCCTTGGTATACTTTGGATCAAATCTTTTCCCTTCTGGGCGATGTATCCACGATATGCCATCGGATCCAAATATATTGAATTTGCTTTCATCTGAAAACAGGACCCTTTTCCAGTCATTCGTCAACAAGTGCAAATATTTTTTTGCAAAGGTAAGTTTGGCCTTCTGGTTCTTCTTACTGATGAGTGTTTTTTTGGCTGCTCTTCTGCGAAATAGCTTCCCTTAGCCGTCTTTGGATGACCTTAGAGCTTATATTGACACCAGGTAGCTCACTCAAAATTTGATTTGTCGATTAATGCAGATTAGTTAAGGCGATTTTTTTAATTATCATTTCAATATTTTTCGTTGTTTTCTTTGGCCGACCACTTTTTTTGTTGACAGACTTATGCAAATTAAACACTGTGCCTATATCCATTTGCCGTACACAATTCCGATGTGCGTTGATTATTTTTTCTCGAGGATCCTCAGACAAATATTTTCCGAATCAGAATATCAACACTTTTCACCTTAAGCAAATAACTACTAAGTATGGTCAATTTTTATGTTGGTTTCTTTATTTATGTCCTTTCAAAAATATTTGTGTCCATATTATAAATAAACACATGATAAGATAAATTTGGAATGTGGCGAAAAATGATGATGGTATTGCTAAAAGGAAATAATATGTTTAAAACAAACATTATTTTAAATATTGGAGATTTTTGAAATCCGACGAGTTTTAAAAAGTTTCTCTACTTTTGTCTGATAGTGTACATCGACTTACTTAATATTACACTTTTCTCGCCCGCAGGAGACCGATTCTTCGCCCGATAAGAACGCGGACGGTGGAGACTCCGAAATTGAGCCAACCGATCCCCTCTCTATAGTAACCAATGCAAACGAGGATTCTAGTAAAAGGGCTTATTCGGAATTCGAAAATAACGAAGAGAATGAAAAAGACGAAGAAAATAAGAGGAAGAGAAGAAAGGAGGATGGTGGAAAGGAAAGTGGAAAAGCAAATCAAAGGAGTACTGGTAAATATAATCTAGTATTATATATCTATAGTCGTAGTATTTTTTTTATTTATTTAATCTGCCAAACCTATATGGAATATATACCGGGTGTTTTTAAAAAGTGACTTACCTCTTACCTTACCTATTTTATCCAGCAAATTAAAACACTAAATTACCACAATTACTTTTACACTGGACGCGCGTTTCGCTAACCATGTTAGCATCATCAGCAGATGATGATAAACTAAAATACAATCGACAATTAGAGCGTTTATATACTCGCTCAGTGGGCCCAGAGTGGGCGTGGCAAGATCTAGCCAACCGAGCGTAACAGTTAGATTTCCGCCACTAGAGTAGTAGGAACAAAGAACTTGAAGGAATTGGACCGTTGTCTCTGTTCATACTATCTTTACATTTATTAATTCTGATGCTTTCATATGCATCTAATTGTCTGTAATTTGAGACTTATTTAATTAATTTCAAGTTATTAAGATCTATACAATGTTCTTTATCAACAATATGTTCGGCAACGCAAGATTTATCCGGTCTACCATATCTTATCTGAGCTAAATGTTCTTTAAATCTAGTTAATATTGATCTTCTAGTTTGCCCAACATATTTCTGATTACAATCTTTACAAGAAATTTCATAAATACCCGACCTTTCCAGTAGAGGTGTTTTATCCTTTGGATTACCTAATAATTGTTGTAATTTATTATTAGCACTATACACAAGTTTATAATTGACATTCTTAAAAATTCCTTTTAGATCACGGGATAACTGTCTATCAAACGGTATTGAAAAATATTTTGACGTTTCTTTCTCCACTTGAAAAGTCGAATTTTCAGAAATAATTAACCTATACCTACGTTTTCTAATTATTTTATCAACTAGTGAAGGAGAATATCCATTACACTCAGCTACATTCCTAATGTAATCTCTTTCTATTTCATATCTTTCGTTGGAAAGTGGAAAACTAAGAAATTTAAACTAGCCATTTTATGTTCAATACTATGATATGATTCATTAGGAATATATCTGCGTGTAGTGGTATTTTTCCTATAGATCTCAAATTCCAGGCAATTATTAGTATTTCTAATAACTAATACATCTAGAAATGGTAATCTGTCGTTGTTCTCAATTTCATGTGTAAATTTAATGGAAGGAAAACGATTATTTCAACCCTTAACTGTAACATTTTATCCTTTCAAATAAAAAAATCGAATTTTGGTATGTTAGTATATGATAGAGTTGGAATTGATTGATGTATATTCAAATAAAAAAAATTTCCTGTTTTACCTGAAATGGCTACAACTTTTGATTTTTAAATGGCACCCTCAATATTTTTTTGCTTCATTTGCTAGAAAATGATATTCTGAATAGTCAACGAAGAAATAGTAAATGTCAACTTTTAACATTTTCTCTTAAAAAATACATTTTAAATTTTAACCTAGAGTAGTGTTAAAACTATTAATTTTTAATCAAGGAGATTTGGAAAAATAGGTTTTATCGTTTAATGTTTTTGTATCTTTTCTAAGCCTATTAAAAGATGCCCAAATCGTATTTTCAGTATTATCCCATTTTTTCAAACGGAACGAGGGTTCACTAGCATATTTGGAAGAAGCATTTTTACGAATAATTTTGTACCACATACTTGGTAGTTTGAGCCAAATTGTGGTTACATTTAAGACCATGGCACACGAAATTGAAATTTAAAATGCTTTTTTTTAATTGAAAATGTCAAAAATGTCGTTCTATTCATAATGCCATTTTCTATGAAATCTGATTAGAAAAATATTTTTTGAAGCGACAAGGTTGCAATTAATTTTAAGTAAGGTACCTTTCGGTAAAAAAAACGGAAAAAGACACTCACAAATAGTTGTTTTTTATTAAAATGTGATTAAACAAATACTTCAAACTTTATGAGTTGCTTAAAGTAAGTAGTCAGAACAACTGTTAAAAAAATATTCACAAATAAGCTCTTATTAGTGAAAATACGAATAAGTTTGTAAAAATGTGAAAATTTTTGGGGCGAGTAATGTCTGCCCGTTTTTTATTATCATAAAATATGACAAACTTCAAACAAGTTCCAAAATGGGATAGCTGTTAAGTCTACTTTTTAAATGAACTTTGACTCATCAAAAAATATGAAATTTTATCTGAGATTAAATAATTTGTTCTATCAATCAATGATACCAAAGAATATTATAGTTTTTAAGAACTCTCGTGTGGAAGCTTTAGTGATTTGTCACACGGTGGCGCTTTTGAACATAATCGAAGCCTGAAAATGCTAATATTTTAAATTTTGAGGACTACGCGCGGCGATATTTCGTACGGTGTTGCCAAAACATATTTTATTTCTCGATATTTAAAGAAATATGTATTGATCATATATTTCGTATTCGTTAGTACATGAGGCATCCTAAGGCTATAAAAACGTAGCTATGAAAATAAAATTTTATATTTTTAATTTTTTTGTACCTTCTAATAAAAATTACTTCTATTCCAATAAAAAATTAACTAGTATGATTATGTGTTATCTGTGCTAGTATTAGGAAACTGGAGTAAATACGGAGAATACTAATTCGTTCTCTAAGATGAGTACTACTAAGTAATTTTTTAAAATTCGACCCATAAGGGGGTGTAATTAGATAAAGGGGTGTAATTATACAAAAAAAAATCTGTACCTACTAGGAGTACGAACTTTTGCACAGATGTGGCACATTTGAACATTGATAAGCGATTTTTGGAAATGTATAGCCTAAGGGTAGTGAAACTGGGGGGTGAAATTTTGTACAAAAAATGTTAGTTCTAGGAGTATGAAATTTTGTACAGAGTTTCCTTAAGTGACGAAAGTGTGTTTCGGAGATGGTAACAAAAAATTAAAACAAAACAACCCCTATTAAAAAATAGGGGATGATGATGGAACGGTGAAAATTTAGGGTTATTTGTATTTTTTAATGCCAACTAAAAAATAAAAACATTTTTTTCTTTTCAAAAATAAAAAATGAGGGTGGGCTACCCTCTTGGCTACCCTTACCACATAAGGGTATAAAAAATAGATAACAACCTATTCTTAGACGTACTGAATATACATATAATTTTATCAAAATCGGTCAAGCCGTTTCGGGGATGGTAACAAAAAATTTAAGAAAGCAACCCCTATTAAAAAATAGGGGATGATGGTAGAACGGTGAAAATTCGGGTTGTTTGTATTTTTTAATGCCAAATAAAAAAAAATAAAATATATTTTTTTCAAAAAATAAAAAAAATGGGGGTGGGCTACCCTTATCACTTAAGGGTATAACAAATAGATAACAAACTATTTTCAGACCTACTCAATTTACATAATAAAACGTCATCAAAATCGGCCAAGCCGTTTCGGAGATGGTAACAAAAAAACAACCCCTATTAGAAAATAGGGGATGATGGTAGAACGGTGAAAATTTAGAGTTGTTTGTATTTTTTAAGGCTAAATAATTTTTTTTTTTTTCCAAAAATAAAAAAAATGAGGGTGGGCTACCCCCTCGGCTACCCTTATCACTTAAGGGTATAAGAATAGATAACAACCTATTCTTAGACGTACTGAATATACATATAAAATTTTATCAAAATCGGTTAAGCCGTTTCGGAGATGGTAACAAAAAAACTTAAAAAACAACCCCTATTAAAAAATAGGGGATGATGGTAGAACGGTGAAAATTTAGAGTTGTTTGTATTTTTTAATGTCAAATAAAAAAAATTAAAATATGTTTTTTTTTCAAAAAATAAAAAAAATGGGGGTGAGCTATCCTTATCACTTAAGGGTATAAAAAATAGATAACAAACTATTTTCAGACCTACTCAATATACATAATAAAACGTCATCAAAATCGGCCAAGCCGTTTCGGAGATGGTAACAAGAAAACAACCCCTATTAGAAAATAGGGGATGATGGTATAACGGTGAAAATTTAGAGTTGTTTGTATTTTTTAAGGCCAAATAAAAAAATATTTTTTTTTTCCAAAAAAAAAAATGAGGGTGGGCTACCCTCTCGGCTACCCTTATCACTTAAGGGTATAAGAATATATAACAACCTATTCTTAGACGTACTGAATATACATATAAAATTTTATCAAAATCGGTTAAGCCGTTTCGGAGATGGTAACAAAAAATTAAAAAAACAACCCCTATTAAAAAATAGGGGATGAAGGTAGAACGGTGAAAATTTAGTGTTGTTTGTATTTTTTAATGCCAAATAAAAAAAAATAAAATATTTTTTTTTCAAAAAATAAAAAAAATGGGGGTGGGCTACCCTTATCACTTAAGGGTATAAAAAATATATAACAACCTATTTTCAGACCTACTCAATATACATATAAAATTTCATCAAAATCGGCTAGCAACAAAAAAAAATATAAAAACAACCCCTACTAAAAATAGGGGATGATAGCAGAACGGTGAAAATTTAGGGTTGTTTGTATTTCTTAATGCCAAATAAAAAAATAAAAACATTTTTTTCTTTTCAAAAACTAAAAAATAATGAGGGTGGGCTACCCTCTCGGCTACCCTTATCAGTTAAGGGTATAAAAATAGATAACAACCTATTCTTAGACGTACTGAATATACATATAAAATTTTATCAAAATCGGTCAAGCCGTTTCGGAGATGGTAACAAAAAATTAAAAAACAACCCCTATTAAAAAATAGGGGATGAAGGTAGAACGGTGAAAATTTAGTGTTTAGTGTTTGTATTTTTTAATGCCAAATAAAAAAAATATTTTCTTTTTCTTTTTTCGCAAAATAAAAAAAATGGGGTGGACTACCCTTATCACTTAAGGGTATAAAAAATATATAACTACCTATTCTCAGACCTACTGAATATACATATAAAATTTCATCAAAATCGGTTAAGCCGTTTCGGAGGAGTACGGTAACCAAAACCACCCAAAACTGTAACACGGGAATTATATAGATAATATTATATGAAAACTGCGGAGTGCGGAGAGCGGAGAGCGGAAAGACTGATTATAGCAATAGATGAAATTTAAAACTATAATTTAAAACTATTCAAGAAAGTACACACAAAACAAGGCAGCGCCGCGCGTCTGTTCGTTCAATTCCGAGCAAAATAGCGAGGCCCCATCGACAGGTCAGATTTTGATGCGAGACGAGACTTCTAGGGTATTAAGATATTCTTTGATGATACGCTTATGAAATCTAACTTCGGAGCGTTAAGACTTAGAGAGAAAATTCAGGGATGTTTGAGGCGGAATATCTCGAAAACTACTAATTCTACGTAAAAAATGATAAGGACCATTTTTGTAGGTAATTATCTAAGCTTCATTTTCTATTTAAAGAAATTTTTTTTTGAAAGCATATTTTCGCAGATATTTGCGAAAAACTGATTTTTGGGCCATTTAAGGCCATTTTTTTAGCCAAAGCTGGCCGAGCACTATATTACAAATTTTCCCATAAAACTACCCCCCAAAAGGTATGCAATCTGCCTGAAAAGTCCCGGTCGACGAATTAAGCCGTGGTTTCAACCTTCATTTACTAGACTAAAAATGTAGATCATCTAGAAAATAATTTCACTGCGTAATTGAGCGGTTTTATGATAGTAGATAGTAGTAATGTTGAATATACGAAATGAATTGTACTGGAAGTGTAAATTATTTTAACTGAAGTATCCTTTAATTTATAGGTCAGGGTAAAGGCCAGAATAATAAACAAACGTCAGGTGGTACCGGCAAGTCCGCTGGATCTAGTGCAAAATCGAGTAGTTCTACTCCAACAGATAAAAAGAGTCCTGTTAGTAGTCCGAAACCCAACGTGAGCAGTTCTAGTGATGCTGAAGTAGATGGTAGTTCAACTTCAGCGGATGGTAAAACTACTGATTTAAAAGTTCCACCATTAAAGATTGTTATACCTCAAAGTTCAGCTAATGAACAAGATACCAATACAAGTAGAAATGGTAAGTTTTATTATAGAAAACTGTGAAATCTAGGTTGACGTACTTCTTCAATCAGGGTTGACGTACTTCTTCATAAATGTCATAATTAAGATTATAATAATTCTAAGATAGCGTTTAATTATAAAAGTACTAATAGGTACTTAATAATATTTTTTCTTCGTACTTAAGTGCTGTGTAGTCGAAAAAAAACGGCGTCAAATTGGCTTGGAAGTAGACGCGTCAGTACAGCTAATGTTTTGCTTACTTTGGTTACAGTTTTATCAATGTGTTCGCTAAATTTCATTTTGGTATCAAGCCAGACTTTTAAATATCTTATGGTTTTGCTGAGGTTAATTTCTATATCTGTATGTGCGGCATGAAATATTTAAGTAATAAACACACCTATCTTAAAACCGACAAAATTGAAGTTACGAGGTTTTCACTTCGTAGCGACGATATAAAGTATTTAAAATTTGCCATTAATTTCAAGAAATACATTCAACAAGAGGCATCATATTTTATTAAAATATCTTGAGAACGGTTACCTGTAGCGATTTTTGTTAAGAGGCCTTTTTTACGAAAAAAATTACGCATATATATATATATATATATATATATATATATATATATATATATATATATATATATATATATATATATATATATATATTTTTTTTTTTTTTTTTTTTTTTCACTCAGCAGTTTTATAGAGATACTGACGAAAAGTTGTTACTCTCCAAACCATTTAAAAAATACGTAGGTGGTGCCCCCTATAAGTAGGAGTCATATTGACATCACAATCAAATTTCTTATATTAAAAAAAACCCAGACACCAATTTTCATCCAAATATCGACATTAGTTCAGAAATTATTTTGAAAAAATCGAAATAGAAATGAAACTTCTACACCCTGTATCTCCGAAACGAATCATTTTAGGACATACATTTATACAAACTTTTTTACTTATTTTTAACTGCAGAATATGCCGCCGAAGTTTCCCGAATACAATTCGGATCATCCTGTATATTAATAAAATATATTTTAATAAAAATATGTAATATGTAGTTGGTCTAATTTTTTGTAGATTTGTTATTTTTTAGTTATAGTTTCGATTGGTTAAATAAAAAAAAATGTGAAACAAGAACAAAACTCCTAGTATTTTATATAATTTTTTTATGAAATATTTGGTATTCTAATATCAGAATATATCAAAGTTAAACTTGTCCACCTTGTAACATTATAATCCTAATCTGACAAACGGGTTTTACGAAGATATTCTCGCAACTTCGTTCCATTTAAAGTAGAATTTTTTTTCTATCTTCGTCAATTTACTTGCATAAATGTTCCCATTGCTCATGGGAAGGCTGCATTCACAATCAAATTTTGCATATTAAATCCAGCAAACTTTATTTTCAACCCAACTCTGGTGCCGTATTTTTCGATCATGTCATATATTAGATAAATAAAAATATTCAACTCAAAAGTTTTTGGAGGAATATAAGAAAAGCAAAATAATAATTTTTAGGCAAAAATAATTCCCAGAGAACACATCAGGCACTGCCCTACATTGTTGCTAGTTCTAATAATGATTCAACTGAAAATGATGGAACCACTGGTAGTAATGACCAAGAAAGTAATTCCACTTCAAAAGAATCGGAGAAAAAGGATGCAAGTAATGGACAAAATGATGAACAGGTACGAATAATGCTAATTATTAGAGTTCTTATTCAAGTATATAATTTAGTTTAACAAAATACATATTTTTATAGATATTTTCGATAAAGGAATTATATCATTAGAAAAAAACAGAGATAACCTTTATATGTATGTACTTGTACATACAGACCTTCTTAGTCAGCAGGTTGATTTCAAGCATCGTGCCTTCGTGAAATTTCATGTACTATCCGTCTCCACTCATTTCAATCTTCAGCCATTCTTATTGATTGTAGTAACGTTTTTCCAGTAAGCTGTGTTGTCAGATCTGTGTATCTTGTTGGCAATCTCCCGCGGCTTCTCTTTCCTTGCACCATGCCCTCCAGCGTCTGTTTTTCTAACCCATCCCGTCTAACTAAATGACCAAAATACCTAGCAATGTTTCCTGCGACAATGGTGCGGAGCCTTTTCTTTACCTCAATCTGTTTAATAATATTTAATTTGTCAAATAATTGATAGGACTGGATATATTAGTTCTTTTCTTAGTCCAAGAGATCCTTGGCATACGACGCGACGCCAGCAGTACAGCTCGAGTTCATCTATTTTCTTCTTATCCAATTGCTTTAGCGTCCAGAAAATACCAGGCTTCTTATGAATATGATGAATTTTCCATATCTTTGTGATCTTCGTCATAGCTTGTTTAGCTAGTGTGGATCTTTTAATCTCTTCACTACATCCACCCTGATTCGTGATGAGAGAACCAAGATATATGTACGTGTTTATCTTTTGGATGTTATTGATCTTCCTTGTATTTGGTCTCTTTTGGTTTTGGTTTTGTCGGTCTACTATCATTATCTTGGTCTTCTTTTTGTTAATTTGAAAATAATAAAAATTGTCATCAGCGGCAGCGTACCGCAGGTTGTTAATTTTGACACCGTTGATCGTTATTCCTCCTTCCCATTTCTCTTAGGCACGCCTCATTATCAATTCACTATATACAGGGTGTTTCAAAACAAATGCGAAAAACTTCAGGGGGTGATTCCTTGTTCAAAATAAAGGGTAGTTTGCTTTATAAACGTTGGGTCAAAAGTCAACCATTAGGGAGATATCGCGGTACAAAGATGGCGGAAAAATAATGTTTTTATTTTTTATCTTGAAAACGAAAAGAGATAGACTAATGAAATTTTACGGAAGCATTACTGTTATGAAAACACACTTTCTGGTCATTTTTTCACTTTTTTAAAATGAGTGGAAGGGGTTGAAATAAACTACCCCTATCATTCTTGTTAATGAAATTTAAAGAAAAATCTTATCAAACACATGCAAAAAAAATTAATTTGGATAGTTTAGTTTGTTTAGAAACTTTTTTATCTCTTGTGTTTTTTTGATAAAACTCACCGATTTGAAATTAAAAAATAAAATGTAAAAGCATTACATGTCAGGACAAAAAACATTTTAGATAAAGAATCTAGTGGGCAGCTGTAATTTTTTTAGGAAAAAATCTAGTCGGCCGCTGTCACTTTTAGGATGTTTCTAATATTGTTTTATTTGACATTACCCTACTGCAATACGTTATTATCTAGATTATTATTATTATCATTATTATCACTAGATTCTTAATCTAAAAATATTTTTAGTCCTGACATGTAATGCTTTACATTTTATTTCTTAATTTCAAATCGGTGAGTTTTATAAAAAAAATACAAGAGATAAAAAGTTTCTAAACAAACTAAACTATCCAAATTTTTTTTGCATGTGTTTGATAAGATTTTTCTTTAAATTTCGTTAACAAGAATGATAGGGGTAGTTTATTTCAACCCTTCCCATTTTAAAAGTGAAAAAATTACCAGAAAGTGTGTTTTTATAACAGTAATGCTTCCATAAAATTTCATTAGTCTATCTCTTTTCGTTTTCAAGATAAAAAATAAGAACATTATTTTTCCGCCATCTTTGTACCGCGATATCTCCCTAATGGTTGACTTTTGACCCAACGTTTATGAAGCAAACTACCCTTTATTTTGAACAAGGAATCACCCCCTGAAGTTTTTCGCATTTGTTTTGAAATACCCTGTATATTGAAGATCATACCCATAAAATATGTTGTTTCTACATCTTTTCGTTTTCGTATAATCAACCGATTATACGAAACTCTGTATACAACTGCTTTGATATATTCAGTTGACTTACATTATAACATTTTCCTCCCCCCCCCCTCCTTCTTCTGTCTTAACAGAATGTAGTGGTCAGGTTAAGAGTCTATTACGCTGTACTGTTCGGGTCACTCTCAGGCGTCGGGTAAAGCGGGTGTGTGGCCGAAGGAAATATATTATATTCCAGAAATCCTGCCTAAGGCTTAGCCCCATCCTGTCGTGTTAAGTCACACCTAAAATTCCAAACACACGTGCTTTGATTAAAGCTTGATTAAGATTTGCCGATTTTTATTTAGCATTTGCCATAAAATAGCGAGTAATTTGTTACAAAATCATATAAATTATATATCACTGTAATCACAAAACATCAATCTATTTCCGTATTGTAACGGAATTTTAAATTGTCTTTATTTTCGAGAAAATTTAGTCCAAACGTAAGGAATATTTTGTTGATGTTTGACCATCAAAATCTTAAAAATAAAGAAGTTGTCTAAAAATGTGCTACAATACGATTATAGTATAATGGGCATGTTCCAAAAAATATAAATTCGCAAATAAATCATTGTATTGCATAGATTAAGTCTTCATTACTTACAATACATAGGAAATTAGGAAAAATGCCATGATATCATTTTAAAAATTAAATTATAATTTCAAACTTGAACAGTCCCGGTTGAGTTGTGACGTACATAGCCTTCACCAATCACGTTTCAGATCGTAGAAAGGGAAGTTTCATATCATATGTTGGTATGCCTGGCTCACGCGTATCGGGCGCAGCCATTTTAGATTTTGTTATTATTTTTCTTCGTGCTTTTCAGTTCAGCGGTAAATTTTCTTGGTTATAACTTTTAATTTTCGTAGAAAGGGAAGTTTCATATCATATGTTGGTATGCCTGGCTCACGCGTATCGGGCGCAGCCATTTTAGATTTTGTTATTATTTTTCTTCGTGCTTTTCAGTTCAGCGGTAAATTTTCTTGGTTATAACTTTTAATTTTATCTAAATGGGCTCAAAAGTATGAAAAAACTTTTTTGGATCATTTTCGAATGGTGACGGAGTATATGGTGGACAGTTTTTATATAGACAATTTAAAATACTTGTGCTGATATAAAGAAGTTAAAATATCAAGGTGATATTTTTTTTCTTCAAGAAGTTATTTAAAAGTAATAAAACCATTGTTTATAGAGCATAGAGTGAATCATAATGATAACAGTTCGATTGGATACGTTCAATAAAAAGAGGGCTTCTGTACAATCAAACAAAAAGTACACCTGAACATTAGGTGACTGCAAGGGTAAAAGTGTACAGAAAGTGGAGCGAACTAAATTTTTAAGCTGTGCAGCTAACACTGGTGATTTTTAAATTATAACTAAATATGTAGGTTTTTATTTATCTATTTATATTTTAATTTTAGGCGGCATGTAAACATTATGTCATACATAACAAATAAAATCAAGAAAGGTACCACGGCTATAATTTATGTAGAGTGAACGAAGATAACATCTTACTTTCTAGAAATCTTAATTGCCAATCTTCTCATAATATTTATATTTTATGTTCTTGTAGCGGGTTAATTGTAAATTGACTGCCCTGATATTCAGAAGTCTTATCACCATCAAAATGTAAATTATTACTATATTGTAATTAAAACACTTTATATTTAAATGCCTTTTAATTTAATAAATTTAAAAAATAATAAAATATGTATATTTTGTATATGTAATACACAATGTATGTTTCCTTCGAATCTGCCTGAAATACAGGGTGGTCCGAACTGTATTCCGGAAACTTCGGAACCATATTCTGCAGATAAAAATAAGTAAGAAAGTTCGTATAAATGTATGTCATAAAATGCTTAGTTTCGGAGATACAGGGTGTAGAAGTTTCATTTTTATTTCGATTTTTTCTAAATAATTTCTAAAGTAACATCAATATTTGGATGAAAATTGGTGTCTGGGAGTTTTTTGACATGAGAAATTTGATTTTGATGTCAATATGACTCCTACTAGTAGAGGGCGCCATCTACATGTGTTTTGACTGTTTTGAAGAGTAATAACTTTTTGTCCGTACCTGTATAAAACTACCGAGTGAAAAAATATACATCTGTGTGACTTTTTACGTAAAAAATATCTCTTTGTAAAATCGCTACGAGCAACCGTTCTCAAGATATTTACAATGGAAATAGTCAATACATGTCATTATTGACAAAAAATAAACACGTTGAGTAGATAGTTATTTCACTGAAATGATAAATTTGGGAAATTCTTATTTCTTTAAATTACTCAAATTTTTTTTGCAAAACAGGACGATAAAACAGTTTCTGTTGAACTTTTAGCACAAAAATATTTGAAATTTATGATTTCAGTCTAAGGGCGATTCCATGATTACTAACGGGACAAACTGAACGAAAAATAGAATGTTTTCGAAAAATATTTATAACTTATATCGTTCATACAACAATGACCTTATAATATTTGTTAGCAATGATTTTAAGTAATAATTTGCCAAAAAAATATTACTTGAATATTTATTAGCTTGGCGGAAATATTACAAAAAAATGTGATTACTAACGGGACAAAAAAAACTTCAGACATTTTTTCAAATAATTCAGAGAGACAGACCTGTGAATTTGAACGCCTTACACAAAATGTAAAAATATAGGATGGTAAAGGTCCCATCTAAAAAATATTTAAGCATATTACTCTCATTTATTTATCAGGTGTATAGGTTCTTGGTGGTAATTTATATTTACTAACGGGACATTACTAACGGGACGGTTTTTTCCAACAGATATATTATTATTTTTAAAACAATAAGTTCAAAAATTACCTAATTTAATGCGACCAAATAATATCAACATATATGAAAAACTGTCAAAACCTAATCCTTAACCTAAAAGCACTTGAAAATTGTATTTTTTTCTGATTCTCGGTATTTTTTAATCAATATATGATGCTGATCAACGGATCTGAAATAATGTGAGCTTGCTATCCCTGGCAATGGTTTTCCGCAAGACCATTTTCCGTCCAAAAAAGGCTTAACTTCGTTGATTTCATCCTCTGTCACATATATACATCTTATGTTTTCCAACTGTTTGGCGCACTCGAAGAATTCTTTAGCAGAATTAACTATAACCTTCCTGCTTTTAACATCATTCCAGACCTAAAATATTATTTTGTTGTCTTAGTAAAAGTAGACAGATTATTACACATTGGCATCGGAAAAAAACCTCGACGGTCTCTAGACTTTAGATTAGCTACATAATATAGGTTCTCGACGAGAACACCGACCATGAACGCTCTATAGATCTGTTTACGTATCTAATTGTAGGCCCTACCTTTCTCTTAACATTTGCACCGACTCCATCCACTGCACCCTTTCCGTGAGATGTTGCGAAAAAACTCCATGTAATTTCAATATGTCCAATTCTTCAGGCAGAAAACATAACGTGGATAAAGTGTATCGATTCTTGAATTGTCCCGCACAGCCGTCACTGAATATAACCAAGCTTTTTAAAACATGTTTTTGGCCAATCCAAGAAACAATATTTTTTATGAAGACGAATACGGAATATTTATCGTGGCTTAAATAGTTGCTGATTATTGCGAATGAGTACACTTGCTTGTCAGATAGCCAGGCCACCCCGGTAAAGACGGTAACTTGCTCATGATGCCAATGTGCACTTTGAATTTCATCCTGTGCAGTCAGGGCAAAATTTTCCGCAAAATCGATTTGCAAAATAACCTCATCTTCAGGGATATTAACTCTCTTAACATCAAAAAATGTTTGTTGTACATTTTTGATAAAATGGTGTCTTCTAAACGCTGGTAATTGATTTTCCAGCATCATAATTGTGGAATTTAGTGTTTCACATTGAATTACAAGCTTTGTTTGGCCCTCAATAGTAATCCACTGTTTAACTGATACAGAACTTTCTCCATCAAATACCAGTGGTAAACAGGAAAAGGTTAAATCAATTTCCTTACATTTACTGCATTTGTTCAACATGCACAATCCCTGTGTACAATTCCAGGATATTTCAGAAATCAAACTTTTGTGGTCTTTAGGAAAAGTTGTGATGTTTTTCTGAAGAACTTCCAAAATGTAAAAAACGTTTGCGTGATATTTGCACACACAAACATTATGTGGCATTGCGCTGCTAAGCAGGATGCATGATGGTCTGACCTCATAAAATTTACTTAGTTTTATTTTAGTATTTGGATTCTCTTCTGTAAAAATCTGGAAGGCTTCTTTTATAGTAAGATACATGTATCTTTTTGGAACGTATTCGACATGATCGCCTCTTTTTATTTTCACCCGGTCTTTCATTCCAGGAGACACCCTGCTAATATCCTCTCGTAAATAAAATTTTTGAATTTTTTCAATTGTCTCCTGTGATAATTTGCGTTTGTTATCAATTGACGGACTGGTAAACTTGCTAATATTTTGCATTTTTAAATTTGGTTCAATTTTTTCCAGAATTTTTCTTAAAACGGCCACTTTCTTATTTTTATCTAAAGGAAGTGATTTATTTGCCGCTCTTACAGCTTTTCCAAGGCTTTGAGCCGTTTTATAGGGTAATATGTTTTCTTTGTTCTGTAAAATCCGTTCTCATTTTCTTTCCCTATAGCGCCTCTTTCTTTCTTTTTCTTTAATGTTCAGTTCCACTTTCAATGCGATATTATTTTTGGCCAAATCTTTTAGTTTTTTCCTGTATTTTATCTGATTTTTAGCATAATTTTTCAAATAATTTTGTTTTAAATTTTCATTTTCATAAATCTTTTTTCTGTAATTCGAAACACAGGCTTTGATTTTTTGTTTGCGTTCGAAACTATTTTTCCCGTCCTAAAATATAATTTTTGTTTACTAACGGGACAAAAATTAATTTTAAAAAACTACAAAGCTAGAACCTTTAAAAAAGAAACAGTTAAAACATTAGAATTTGTTCACACAAAACTTATATTTTTTATCTTATGTAAAAACCTCTTGGCTTGAAGTATCGCTATATATCAATTTATTGTATATTTTGTTTACTAACGGGACATAAAATTTAGATATACTTATAATATTTTATCACAAAATATACTTACTTGGAAAGAGTAACAACACAATAATTCTATCACTCAAACAGAAGCGCAAAGAAAACTGACAGCGTTAGCGCATTGCTCAGCTTTTTTATCCATAGCCACCTTGATAAAACAAAGCGATTTTTTGGAATTTCACTGTGAAAACCAAAACTATTTTGTTCTGACTATTTTCAAGGAGCACTAGATAAGAAAGTTAAGTTATTCTAGTTTTGTTATGTACTATAGACATTATACTACAAATAAAAGTACAAATATTTTAAAAAATGTCTCATTTTAAAATTAACAAAAATATGTATTGTTTGTGGAATCGCCCCTAATAACTATTTAGTCAACATGTATAATTTATGTCAATGATGACAGGTATTGATAATTTCCATTCCAAATATCTCGAAAACCATTACTCGTAGTGATTTTTACCAAGAGACCTTTTTTATGTCGAAAACGTCGTAAATGTTTATTTTTTTACTCAGTAGTTTTATACAGGTACGGACTAAAAGATATTACTCTTCAAACCAGTTAAAAAATATGTAGGTGGCGCCCTCTACAAGTAGGAACCATATTGACATCAAAATCAAATTTCTCATGTCAAAAAACTCCCATACACCAATTTCCATCCAAATATTGACGTTACTTCAGAAATTATTTGGAAAAAATCGAAATAAAATGAAACTTCTACACCCTGTATCTCCGAAACTAAGCATTTTATGACATACATTTATACGAACTTTCTTACTTATTTTTATCTGCAGAATATGCTGCCGAAGTTTCCGGAATACAGTTCGGACCACCCTGTATATAACACTCTTAAAAAATAATATTTTATGCTTATATAATAAACATTATTGATCACATATTAATACATTTAATAACAGAACTTTAAAATAAAATATTTACTTGATTTTATGTAAAAAGGCACTGCATTATTTTATCTATACAATGTATTTTATTAATAGTCTTCCGAAATAACTTAACCATGAACGTATTTATTAACATTCTTGGTGCCAATATAATTTTTCTAATTGCCTTGTTCATCTTCTCTAACTTTTCTTGGTCAGATAATAGACGTACTTTTCTTGATCAGATTGTAGCGTATCTGTTTTATACCATAATTATGAATACTGTGATTTTCCGGAAATACTATTTATCTTAGTTATCAGGAATTACATTTTTTTCAAATTAATTTTTCCCCACCTTCTTCCACATGTAAAAAACAGGCCATTAATTTAACAAATCAAACATAATATAAACTCACTTTGAAATGCTTTGAAATCACATTCATAGCTTAAGAGAAGTTTTCTGAAAAAAACAGCATTTACGACTTTTCATCTTTTTTCGGCGCATACAAAAACATTTTATTATAGTTACTGGTAAATGTTATCCAAAAATGGAACAATTAATTTTTTAGCATTATTGGAAAATAGTTTAAATGCAAATTTAATTTAAAATCAAAAATAAACAATTGTAAACAATGTCATTTTGACATTGAATAAACAGCAATGCTGCCAACATCATAAAATTCACCAAGTTTATTTCGAGACGAAAACCAGCCAATCATATTCGTGAGGGCTACATACGTCATCGCAGCGCGCGTAAGTGTGAAATTCAAACTTTTACCTCATTTTTTGGCATAATATTAAGTTTTATATAAAAAAGGCTAAGTAGCAAGCACTAATTAGGTTGAAATCTGCATAATTACGTGGAAATTGAAAAACATGAAACATGCCCATTCTTTATCTTTAATTTCCTACCTCATTTGTGTAAAAATTCCTAGCTAGTTTTACATAAAACTAGCTTAAAGTAAAAAATTACAAATCTGTGTAATAAATAAATATGCTGAAATTAAGTTCTTATGGGTTTAGTGATTTTCTCGTATTGTCCTGTCGACTCCAGGTCTTAATACTAAACCTACTCATTATTAACGATCTTAGGAAACGAATTGAAATCCTTTTTGGAAATCCACCACAGGTTTAGACATCGCAACAAGATTACAAATTTTGCCGTAGATATTTCAAGATATTTTAGTATATAATATAATTATCTTAATAGTATTTCTAGAATACTATGAGATCATTAAAAACACTAAACCTTTTCTCTTCTATCGATCAGCGCGGAAATGGTGCGGGGGGCTCAGGGGGTCACTCGCAGCATCAGCGCGTATTGCGCAGTTCTCATCGCGGCAGCAACAGCTCATCACCGCAGCTTCAACGTCATTCCCCCTCGCCCTCTAGTGGCACATCTTCGGCTTCAAGTCCGGCCGCCACGGGGAATTGTCAGCAGGCCGACATCCCCACTTCGACAGGGGCGGCAACCTGTCCCACACAATCTAAAACTGATTCGCAGGTATGACGTTGCAGACGCTATATGGCGGCCAAACTGGGACGTTCGAAATATAGAATGCGTACAGGGTGCTTCAATATTGAGTATATCTTTCTCAAATTCAGTTATAACGCCTATTCTAGATTCTTTCAATAAAGTAAAATGATAAGGTTATACATAAACGTCGCGTTGTTACGATAATCCTTGTAAACGGTTCCTGAAATTTCGACATACCTTATTAGTACGCATTTTATATGATCCCAAATTATTAGCCTCTGTCTGTAACTAAAAGGAATATGTATTTGATTTAGTCTTCATCCGATCATATTTATCATTTATTTATTAATAACCTTTTCATGTTACTTTATTTTATGTTTCATCAGTCCGTTTGTGTTTCCTCGTTCAAAAGTGATTGTCTTTCAGCTCGTAATATAATTGTATCACATTAAGATGCTAGTAACATTTTTTCAGGCTACTCAAAACTCGGAAACAGAACCAAGTACTTCGAACAATTCCAATACTGTAATGCCAGTACAGCCGTCTGTCGAATTGCATCCACGCAAACGAAAAATGAAGCAGAGCCGTGAACAAGCTAATTCACAGGCCCAAACTACAGAACATCAAGAATCTACTTCTGAAACTCGGGAAGTGCATCCTCACGAACAACCTATTACTAATTGTTACAAACTTTTTATGAACATTCGAAAACAAGTAAGTTATTTAAAGAAACAGCAAAACAAAAATTTTCTTTTTCTTTTTTTAGATTGAGAAACGACGAAAAGGATTATATCTTGTACAACCAAAACCACCGCAAGGATTTAATCATTATCTTATGAATAGGTGCACATATGTGCTAGAAAATACTGCTCCGACAACACCTAATATAAATTATCCTCCTACATTACCCCAACAAATGAAAGACTTATTTGCTGAACAAGAAAAGGAAAGATATAGATTAAGAATGCAGGTAAGTAAATAATATAAGGCGAATAGAAGAATTACTAGATTGTGATATTAAAATTTTGGGAAGAGTTATACGAAGTTGTTGATAAAAGCTCCCTAGTTGATTTTTAAACTTAAAAACTAGTTAGAGCGATGTCTGTTGGTCGATTTACCTATAATTATTTTTTTGCTAAGTTCTATCGTTAAGAGTTTCCGAATTATAATCGAGCGTCCGGATTGCACAACGACCTTAGCGCGTGGCCGCGGGCAGCCCAGTAGGCAAGCGATACAGCGACGCGTTGTTGCGCGCGATTTAACAAAATAAATAATTTTAAACCTGCCGTCTTTTCGTTAATAATTATCGTATCCTGTTGATTTTTGCATAGAAATACTCATGAGTCTTTAGCGCTTCCGACAAGCCTAAATAACTGGATTATTTTTTATATTTTCGATTTGTTTACATTGCCCGAGCATATTATAACTTTGAGATAAAAATCTCTGTTATAAATTTTAAAACTGACAGATATGAATACTATCATTTAATTAGTTATACATTTAGTTACAACATATTCAAAATTTAGGTCTATCGGTTTATACTAGCAGTAATAACGAGTATAAATAAAAAAATGGTCAGTACAACGCTCGCCGTTTTTAGCGCACGTTCAGCTTTGGTTTTAGTTTTAGCGCTATTTTGACAGAAAATAAATTCTGAACTTTGATCAAATGACAAGAACATTATTATTGCCGATATCTCCTGATTATAATATAGTTCTTTTTTCAAAATATTGCATTGTTTTACCTTAAAAAAAAACTTGAATTATGCGGCTTTTTTGCGAGAGCTACCGGCGCTGCGTTAATAAAGAGATGGCTATGTACGTCAATCGAAAGATAGTATTTGCGAGTCTTTTGTTTACACGGAGTATAGAAAATTTTTGCCATAGCTTGTTTACTACCAGTAGTATTTGTGCGTTTTTTAAAATTGTTTATTATTGAATAGAGGGAAATGCTTTTAAGTTTGAAGTACGGAAGTAGAAATCCGGATAAATGAAATTGCATTATTTCCAAAAAATCTCGTGACGAGGTAAAATTACAGTCTATTGTGGCTATGATTGACGTACATAGCCATCTCTTTATTAACGCAGCTCCGGTAGCTCTCTCAAAAGAAGCCGCATAATTCAAGTTTTTTTTAAGCTAAATTAATGCAATATTTTGAAAAAAGAACTACATTATAACCAGGAGATATTGGCAATGATAATGTTCTTGTCATTTGATCAAAGTTCAGAATTTATTTTCTGTAAAAATAGCACTAAAACTAAACCCAAAGCTGAACGCGCACTAAAAACGGCGAGCGTTGTACGGACCATTTTTTTTATTTATACTCGTTATTACTGCTAGCATAAACCGATAGACCTAAATTTTGAATATGTTGTAACTAAATGTATAACTAATTAAATGATAGTATTCATATCTGTCAGTTTTAAAATTTATAACAGAGATTTTTATCTCAAAGTTATAATATGCTCGGGCAATGTAAACAAATCGAAAATATAAAAAATAATCCAGTCATTAATCTTGTCGGAAGCGCTAAAGACTCATGAGTATTTCTATGCAAAATCAGCACGATACGATAATTATTAATGAAATGACGGCAGTTTTAAAATTATTTATTTTGTTAAATCGGCGCGCAACAAAGCGTCGATGTATCGCTTGCCTACTGGGCTGCCCGCGGCCACGCGCTAAGGTCGTTGTGCAATCCGGACGGTCGGTTCTATATGAAGGGTAAGGGGAAAAACCGACAATTTTTTTAAATTTTTAAGTAATCAACTTAATTTGTTAGTCCTAGTCCCAAACACATGTTAAATTGTAATTGGATATAACAAACGATATCCAAATAATAACGCGTACAGTAATATATTTTTATATTTTTAATATGGTATTTGGCAATATTAAATCACCGTTTTCTCCGGTTTTGTGGCATCGTCGGTTTTTTCCCTTACCCCACATATATTATTATATCTGATATGACAAATATCAAATATTTATATCTTTTATTGTTGAACTATCCTATGTATCTATGTACTTTACATAATCTATAGCCCATTCTATACATAAGTGATATTAAACTAAAAAGAGTGTCTGATAACTATTGCAGCAACCACGACATTATATTTAAAAGAGTCGTCGGAATACAAGTTTTTAATAAAGGTTATTTTAAAAAATGCTATTTTTTGAATATGAATTGACTACAGTTTAAGATGAAAAGAGATAATTTTAAAAAAATATAAAATTTATGTTTGGGTGTTTAACACAATAGGTCTAGAGTCTCTCCAACGAATCAGAGAAGATTTCGACAGACGGTATCCAAAAAACGATAAATTACAATTTACCTGTTAACAACTGTCATTGTCATATTTTTACTCATTGGACAGATTTTAATCTAATTTTATATGTACTTTAATCCAGAACTGTAGATTTTAATTATAGAATTCAGTAAAGTTTTAACAGGATTTAAAATACACACAACCAAACTTATATGGAATCACTCTTTATTTCTGACTAAATTTCTTGCAAGGATAAAAATTGATATACAATTATGATAAGGCTTTTTGTTGTAAATAAACAAGATAATAAAGAATAAACGATTGCTGCGATTTATTTTCTTTTGAATTTTGTGTTCAGTAGTAAAATCACGATTGTCCTGTAATTTTCATCCAATCCAAAAAAAAATAAAAAATGCCTTAAGTTGGATTAACAGATGTACAGAGGGGAAGAATTATTGCTCTCACCGAACAAGGAATGATCCAGAGAGACGTAGCAGAGATAGTAGGCGTTACCCAGGGTGTTGTATCGAAAACATATGCAAGATACTTGGAATTAGGAACACACAAGGATAGGCTCATACAAAGTCGTCAAAGAGTCACAACTGAACAACAAGACCGCTTTTTGTGTGCTAAATTGCTAGAATAAATCCCAATGTTTCTCATCCAGAGCTACAAAGACAACTTCTGGCAGCTACAAGTGTGAACATTTCAGTTAAAACCATATGAAAAAGGCTTCGTGCAAGAGGGTTTTACAGTAGGAGAGAGTTACGGATCCCACAGTTATCTCGGCAAAATAAAATTGACTGGCTAAATTGATGCCTTCAACATCAAAACTGGACAACTGAGAATTGGCAAAATGTTCTTTTTTTCGGATGAGACCAGAATTGGCCTAAGATCAGATAACCATCGAATTCGGGTTCTCAGAGCTCTAGGAAGACGAGCGAGACTTCAGGCTGCCAAATCTGTACCAAGATATAAAGGAGGAACTGTAATGTTTTGGTTTGGCAGGCGGGGAGGTATTATACTAGGAGCAAAAACTCCATTGTCATGAAAAACTCCACTTCAACAAATTTTAACTGGTCAGAGATATGTTGATTTGGTGCTAGAACCAATCGTTAGTCTTTGGAAAGCTGCAATTGGGGATAATTTTAACTTCATGCACGATAGTGCACCTCCCCATACCAGCAGAGTGACTAGAGAATATCTTGAAACGGAAGGTGTCATAGTTTTGGACTGGCCTGCCTATTTACCAATCTAAACCCTATTGAACACTTGTGGGACTAGCTCAAAAGAAGGGTTAGAGCTCGTTGAAACAATCCAGCACAGCTTATTGATGCAGCATTAGCATAATGGGAAAACATACTCCAAGACAACGTGGATAATTTAATAAGAATCATGCCAGCGCGGATAGAAGCCTGCATAAGGGCTAGAGGTGGCAACAAGGAATATTAAAATTATCAATTTTCTTTTTGTTTATGCTTTTTGGCCATTAAAAATTGAAATCTTAATTTCGTTTCAGAAACCAAACAAATACCATTTTGTTTATTTTGGGAACTGATTAATTTTTTTTTATTGCAATATGGATTATTTTTCATTAAAAGTCATTGGTAAGGACTGAATTTTATTCATAAACAGAACATTTTCATACATCTCAAAAATTATGAAAAATAATAGATGGTTCCATATAAGTTTGGTTGTGTGTATAAATAGCCATATGCTGTAACTTCTGTGAAATTCATTTCTTAAACTTAAAACTCCTAACCTTAACGTTTGACCATAAGGCTGTAAATAAATGTCCTTTCTTACCTAGTTAACACTCAATCCTTTTAGTTTAGTGGCGCTCTAGAGAATCTTATTTTTTTATAGCATGTAATTGAAAAGGAGAAACTGGTTTTATCAGTAGAGCAAGAAATATTACGAGTCCACGGTAAAGCAGTAAGAACATTGCATAATCAGCCATTACCATATTCTGTATGTACAATTTTGAGGGATGAAGAGGTTTATAATTTAATTACTCCCGAACAAGAAGAAAAAGATAGAGTTGCTAGAGCTAGATTTAATGGTAAATAAATCAGGATATGTCTTTACCTCTGTGGCGGATTAATCTCTTCAAAAAAGTCCTATGGGTATTTCGCCATTGTAAGAAAATCTACAAAATAAAATAGTTATTTTTTTAAACACTGCTGCATTAATCCAATGGAGATCAGCTTGTCAGCAGTGATTTACTAATAAACAAATTGGCCTAACGGACAAAAAAATGCTTAGTTTCGGGAATTATCTCTCTTCCCAACGAACCCAAAGAACAAAGAAAAAACTATTTAAAATATCTAAATACAACTATTTAAGAACACTTTAGTTTTTTTAACAGATACGTCTATAAAAACTGTTTACGTTCTGTTATATGGTAACATATTATGGTAGATATTTTAAATAGTTTTTTTTCTTTGTTCTTTGTACTTCCTACGACGGGAAGTGATGTACTTCCCAAAACGTTAAGCATTTTTTGTCCGTTAGACAAATTTGTTTTTTAGTAAATCACTGCTGACAAGCTGGTCTCTGTTGGATTAGCGCAACAATGTTTATAAAAAATAATAATAATAGCTCCCGTATATAGCGTTTAACGCCTTGAGAGTAGCAAGGTACAGCTTGCCATCCTAGAGCCGTTCGGTATACAAGGAAGGTAATGTGGCTAGCACTATGCTTCAACCGCCTATTATTACCTCAGGATTGTGAATCCCAAGTACTCATTTAAGGCTGAGTACTAAACTATTTTTATTTTAATAAAAATAGTCGGCTGATGAAATTCCGGGTGTAGGATTCGAACCCACTACCTTGAGATTGGTAGACGAGAGCCTGTACCTCTACGCCACCGGCCACCTTTTCTCTTCCCAACGAAGTTTATAAAAAATAACTATTTTATTTTGTAGATTTTCTTACAGTGGCGAAATACCCAATAGGACTTTTTTGAAGAAATCAGGATATGTAATGATTTAAATATACCCTGTTGGTCATCCAATTTATGTGGTCTGGATTTTAATGGGTGTAATAGAGAATAATATAAACAACCGGTTGACAGATAGAGAGACAAAATCAAAAGCGGCATACAGTGTTGCCGGTTTTTTACGTTTATAGGAAAATGTGTGTAGAAAAATATAAGCTATTTTAAAAACTTTCATGTATACTACTGAAATGATGATAATAGGTTTGTTCCAACCAGCATTTCGGGATCGTTTCGAAATCGTACTCGAATCGGTTTTCTTGCACTTTGTTAGCATGCGCGGACTTCGAATAGTTTCGTGACGGTGCAAAAAGTATCAACGTTGGAACGCTTTGTGGATTGTTTTCGGGACTGTCAAAAGTGTATCGATCGGTTTTTTGTTTTTTGTTTAGAATTTCATAACATAACCCTATTATTTTTGTTTGCAATTTGCAATAATAATAATTATTATTCTTGAAATGGAGAATCAGAATCCAGTAATTGTTGGTAAGTATTGTTTCAACTGTATACTAACTCACTTACCTGTCCTCTCTATATGATCCTGTTATGCGTAGTTTCCTGTTATTTCATTGCAGGGGTAGAATCTTTGAACATTATTTTATAAATAAAAAATTAATTAAAATTTCCGAACGATTTAAGCTTGATTTTCATGCATCCGTTATACGTTGATACGATGGTCCGACGGTGCTCTGATTGGACATAGAGTTTTCGCGCCACTTTTCATCCGTAAATATTTTACTTCAGCCCGTCAACTGACGTTCATACGATAACGGACGTTTTGACAAATTTAATCTAACCCTAATAAAAATATAAGTAAAATAGCAAAATCGTTATGGAAACGAAAATATAAAATAACACCAACGTATATCCGATAAACGGAGGCATGAAAATGCAATAAATTTAAATACTGCGTTATTTTCTAACCAATCAAAGCCTTTAAATTCTACCAATAAAATTAATATCGTATCAACGTATCGTTGGACAACGGATGCATGAAAATCAAGCTTTACTCCACATAAACTCACAAGCAAAAGTATAACGCACGAATTTGAAACGTATAACGTATTCGAATTTGTAAAAAATAACCAAGACAGAAGCATCAGCCGGACACCGGACCAGAATCAGCTGTTAAAAATCGCTGCCAATATGCTTTAATGCGCAAGTCAACCCAAACAGTTCTCATTTAGACCATGTACCGAAATTGCTGTTCTGAAATCGTAACTAAACGATCCCAAGGTAGGTTGGTACGCAAATAGGATCGTCCGATAACCGTCAAATCTCGGTTGGAACACATTTGAATTACTGCGCACGAGCGTGATCGTTCGGTGACGGTTCTGCGGCCGGTTTGGAACAAACCTAATATATCTAAACTAAATATAATCTATTACAGCTGTAGTAAAATGAGTAACTAATAGTGAAAAATAAAGTTACAACCCTAGATGCAACATTTTTCGTAAACGCCTACTTGTGCGGTTTGAAATTTTGATGCAAACTCCGGCAATACCGCATAGAAGAAACGTGTCGACCCAATTTTTATTTCTTTTTAATACATTTGATTTTCCATTAAGCTGTCTACATCACTTTCTTACACGTTAAAATCCAGACCGCACAGTTTCGATGACTAAATCGGTATAAGTATATATCTGTTTTTAGGCCGCTTATTTTTAAGTTGGTTACAAGACGTCGATGATAAATGGGAGAAAATTAAGGAACACATGCTCTTGAGACATCACCACGAAGCGGAATCTCTTCACGCCGTGCAAAAAATGAACTGGGAATGGAAACTGAAAGAGTTGAGTCTCTGCGATAAAAAGTCTACACCTAAAATAGACAAAGTGCACGTTCCCGAAGTGCACGTTAGTGATGATTTTAATCTCCTACCTGCATAAGATGTTTTATTTAAGGATATGTAAATTTGTTATATGCTAATTTTATATACGTTTATCTAATTATAGAGTAAACTTAGGTAACACAGTTTCCAATGAGATAAAATCACGCAGAGTTTTGGCTCATAGTATTATGGCATTATAAAATATTGATAGTACTGTACTTATAGACAGAACTTTTGAAATATAAAATTGGAAAATATATGCTGAAAAATATGACAAACAATGAAAATGGTAAATAAACATTTTTCGTATCTAAAGTTTTAAAAGGTCTGTCGTTAACTTTTGTAAAACACACGTATTTTGTGTAATCAACAGGTCAATTTGATTTTATAAACACACGTTTTTGTAAAATCAAATGTTTTAGAGTTGTTTTGATTGTAAATATCTAAGATAAAAATGCATGGTATTATGTATTTAATTATTTACTGATAAAACTTAAGTTTTGATTTAATAAACTTTTATGGATTTTTATTTCACAATGCATTGTTGAGGTGAGGATTGTCCATATATTACCTTTCACTTCCATATTCAGCTAATATACAAACTTTATATACCGGGTGCGTCTCAAAAGTGGCTGACCCCTATAACTTTTTTATTTTTTTTAGATAAAAAGACGAGATTTGGTATGTTAGTATATGACATAAATTAGAATTGATTGACGTATTCAATTGTTTTTAGTCACTTCCTGTTTAACCGGATTTTTAAATAGCACCCTTGGTATTTTTTTACTTTAGTCTATAGAATGTGATATTCTGAATAAAATGACATATCTTATGTCAACTTTTGACACTCTCGCTTCATAAAAATTTGTATTTTAAAATTCAATCTAGAGTGCCATGGCTATGTTAAAAACGCTAATTCTTAATCAAGGAGCCTTGGAAAAATAAATTTTATCGTCTAATGTTTTTAGTGTTGTCCTAGCCAGTTAGAAAATGCTCAAATTGTATTTTTAATCATATCTTAATTTTTTTAAATGGAACGAGGGTGGCTCATTAGCATATTTGGAAAAAGCATTTTTTTACAAATAATTTGATACCACACGCTTGGTATTTTGAGTAAAATTTTAGTTACGAACCGCAAGTTATAATTTCAAATAAACCATATGCGAAAATGTCAAAAGTTGACATATGATATGTCATTCTATTCAGAGTGTTATTTTCTATCGAATAAAGTAAAAAAAAAATACCGAGGGTGCCATTTAAAAATCAAAAGTTGTAGTCATTTCTGGCGAAACAGGAAGTGACCGAAAACAATTGAATACGTCAATCAATCCTAATTTATGTCATATACATACCAAATCTCGTTTTTTGAAAAAATAAAAAAGTTATAGGGGTGAGCCACTTTTGAAACGCCCCCGGTATAATATACCAATATGATAGGTACAAAGTTTGTGGTAACAAAATAATGTTACCTGTGGTACCAACCACTAGTAATGGTACCAACCACAGGTACCATTATTCTGTTATCTGTGTTGGTACGTTTTTTACGAGTTTCCGTTGGGATAAAAAATACAATTTAGAATAACTATCGCTACTTTATTTAATGCTAAGTATAAACAATACAGTTTTTATTTATGTAAAGATGTATGTATTTTAGACAGGCGAGAGTACCAAACGAGAACACATTTAGTCCATGGCAATACAGAAAGCGAGTAAATTTTAGTATGTAAAGCGTTTTTTGTGACTAGAAACAAAATAATACGAACATATATGAGTGGCCCCACCGAAATCGTGTAGCATTTAGCGCTTATTAATAGGCATATAAAGAGACGCTTTACTCACTTTCTGTGGCCATGGGCTTATACCGTGTAGAATCTGAAATTTTCGGCTTCTCCATTATTGTTAGGAGTCTGAAATTTTGGCCCTTTTGAACTTTTTGGTTTTCCACCCTTTTCTTACTAGAAATATAATAATAAATAAACAAAGAAAGATTTGACCGTTGATAACGGTCTAAGATATGAAATATATGAGATGGTATACTGGGTTCGGTGGCTCACCCCACGCTTTTTTCAGATAAAAAAACGAGATTTGGTATGTTAGTATATGACAGAAATTAGGATTGATTGATGTATTCAATTGTTTTTGGTCGCTACCTTGGTTTCACCGGAAATGACTGCAACTTTTGATTTTTAAATGGTACCCTCGGTATATTTTTACTTTATTCGATAGAAAATGACACTCTCAATGAGTAGAATTATGTCAACTTTTGACATTTTCACTTACAAAAATCTTATTTTAAATTTCAATCTAGAGTGCCATGGTTGTGTTAAAAACACTAATTTTTAATCAAGGAGCTTTGGAAAAATAGATTTGATTGTCTAATGTTTTTCGTGTCTTGTCCTGGCCAGTTAAAAGATGTCCAAATCGTATTTTTAATCACATCTCAATTTTTTCAAATGGAACAAGTGTGGCTCATTAGCGTATTTGGTAAAAGATTTTTTTACGCATAATTTGGTACCACATACTTGGTATTTCGAGTCAAATTGTCGATATGAACCAAATGTTACAATTTCAAATAAACCAAATGCGAAAATCTCAAAAGTTGATATGTCATTCTATTCAGAATGTCATTTTCTATCGAATATGGTAGAAATATACCGAGGGTGCCATTTAAAAATCAAAAGTTGTAATAATTTTCAGTGAAACAGTGGAAATGACCAGAAACAATTGAATGCATCAATTATTTCTAATTTATGTCATATACTAACATACCAAATCTCGATTATCTGAAAAAATAAAAAAGTTATATGGGTGAGCCACTTTTAAGACGCACCCGGTAAGGGGAGTATATTGGTATATCAATGACAAGGAAAGTCCAGAGTTTGATGTTGAGTTGTTTTTCGCTCCTAACCCAACTAAAAAAAAGACAGTTTATATTATTTTGGATCGACACCACTAGAAATTAAATTCCCCTATTATTTTACATATAAAACGACAGCGATCTTCATTTCATAGCCATCGCAGACGCCGTTTTTTTTTCAATCATATTTTATTTTTTATAAGATTAATTCAAATCGTTGTAGAAAGATATACGGCGTCATTTTCTTTGGTAACTGTTGATATCAGTTGATAATATGTTCAATTTCTGTGGCAGTCTGTGGTCAGTTCTTATCAAATTAAAATTATTTATTATTTTAAATATCCAAACAAATATCTCTTTTCAAGTGACATTGACGTAAATTAAATTAAACCAAACCAAGGATATCAAGACTGATTAATGATTAGTCCTCAACAATCGCGTGTAAAATACTAACTTTTTTACATTCACACTAGGAAGTGAATAAGCATTTTAAAATTTATCCAGAAATTTAATTTTGGTTTAAAAATGGTTATTTCAATTTTAGATAGTAAAGAAGACGTAATTTTAAGCCTTTGTAACTTAATAGAGTCAACAGCTAGTGAAAGTATTGAAAAAAATGGAGTTTTTAATGTTGCAGTATCAGGTAAAAACAAATTTCCTTTTTGCTCTAAATATAAGTACTAAAACCTGAGAGAAAATATCAATGTAAAGTATTATTGCATATATTGAATATTATACTACATATTATAATGAAAGAATATAACTAAAATAAAAAATATATAATAAAAAACATAACCTAAAAATGATTTTAGTCGTGACGTCACGTCACGTCTGATATGTTAGGAATGTTCATTAATATCGATATATTATCGTCGATAGTTTTATTCCGGGAATATTAAAAAGATTAGATTTTGTGACATCGGTATTTAAATTTGCAGAAATAACTTTATTAATGATAAGATTTCAAAAGATTAACAGTAATATGCATAAGTAGGGGACGTTCATAAATTACGTGAGGCATTATTGATGATTTTTAAAACACCAATTCACCACAAACCACATTACACCAAAACACTTTACCTTTACATTGGACTCGCGTTTCGCTATATAACCATGTTAACATCATCATCAAATGATTAAAACTAAACTAATATCTACGAATTGGGCGTTTTTTCAGTTGGTACTGACCAAGTAAGTCAAAATCAATCGAGCGCACAATGGTTCCCCTTAATTAGCTGCGCGGTCATAACTGTAAGATATCTAGATATAGCTCGACTGCACCTTTTTTAATAGAAATTGATAACAAATGCTAAATAAATGTATATAAAAAAACTTAATGCAATATGTATTAAAAAAATTGGGCCCAGTTCGTGTGATATGCATTTTAAGTTCTAACTATTCGGAAAGGTATACAGATTAGGTTTGCACATATTATGTACATGTTTTTTCATATTGAAGAGGTCAAATTTATATTAAATGATGAAAAAATAAAAGAGACAATTGCTTCATTTTATAAATACAATTTTATTGTCAATTGATATACAGTGTGTCCACGAAATAAGTTGACACGAAGAGGAAAAAATAAGTTACTTTTATTTTAAGACAAAAAGTCAATCTTTCACCACCCAGTATAAGATCCAGCGGCAATTCGCGGCAGCCAGTGACAATTAATTTATATGCAATATACTTTAAGCAACAAGTATTATCATGCCGTTTAAGAGGATTTGAAAGGGAAAGTAGTTAAAAGTCTTAAAGAGTGACAAGCAAAAATGTAAAAATACTATTTTTGTTGCCGTCAAATAAATTACCATAAACTAATATTACTTAGGTTTAATTAAGTGCAACAAAGAAAAAAACAGTTCTTTTTACCTTCTTTTCGAACGTCCATTACAGAAAAGGCAACAGCTTTTATCAATTTTAACAAAATAAGTAATGAATTGGCGTTATCTGAAAACTGTTTATGTCAGCTTGATACCAGTAGCAAAAATGTGACATTTCTAATAAAAAAAAGCGCTACGCCAGGCTTACTTGATTTTCTTATTTATTATGTATCGTTTACAGGGGAATATAAGAAAAGTATTAGCAACAGTTTCATGCAAACATTTTGAAATTAATATTTCTAAGTAATGACCTATCTGGGAACCACTGTGCATCGGGTCAATTAATTACCGTGACTAGAGCAATAGAAAAAAGAGAACTGGAAGGAATTGGATCATTATTCTTTGTTTATCTTATCTTCATATTTATTTATTTTGACGCTCTCATAGGAATCTAATTGCCTGTAATTTGAGACTTGTTTGATTAATTTTAAATTATTAACATCTATACAATGATCTTTATCAAAAATATGTTGAACAACGCAAGATTAATCTGGTCTTATTGATTAGTTAGATTAATTAGTCTGGTAATATTGATCTTCTATAATATGATGAAAATATATATAAATGAAAAATACGGCTTTAGCGATGGCTATGAAATGAGGATCAATGTCGTTTTATATGTAAAATTATACCTATAGATGTCATCGATCCTCATTTCCAAGCCAACTGGCCGCCGTTGTTTTTTCGACATACGGGAGTTTGCCCAACATTATTTTGATTACAATTCCCTTACATAATTTTTTTAAATAAATATATTATTGTATAAAGGATAAAATCTCAGGTTATATCGGTCTGTTTTCATTCAATAACATTCATTTATTCATTAAAGCCTCTATATTTCGTTAGTGGTTACTAACATCATCAGGAGGTACCAAGCTACAAGAAACATTATTCTTTACAACAAAGCAATCCAGCAAACAATACAAATATACAAGATAAGAGTTACCATAATAAAGACGAAAGTCAAAGAACAAAAAAAAACACAAAAATAAATCAACAAAAATTTCGTCACAAATTACAATGAGGTAAAAAACAATAATATATGGCAACTAATTATATATAAGTAAAAACCAGAAATATTAATTAAATAATCTAAAATAACTTACAATTAGAGTTAAAATATCTGTACGTAATATAGTATTGTATGCATTCATCTTCTTCTTACAGTGCCATACTCTATACAGAGCGTCGGCTACCTCTCGCATGTACTTGTGATGTGTGTCATTAGTGTTTTCACAAGTACACGGGACCTACAGTTTATCGCCGAATCTGAAGGGCACTATTTGAGAAGCTGTACAAGGCTAAATTTACTCAAGGTGGTTTGCCATTGCCTTCCTTGAGGTGGCGGCTCGCTGGTCGCTCTATTTAGATAAATCAATATTTTTATTTAAATAAATAAAGCGACCGTACTGGCTGAGGATCGAACCCAGTACCATCCCATCTCTCGCACCGCAGATCGACACACTACTGCTTGCGCTACGGCCGGCCACATGCATTCGTAAATGAATATAAATTCATTTTAAATACATTTCAAAAACCATTTTACCCGTCTCTGCTTTTCAACATGCGATTAAAATCACACCTTTAAAAATGTAAAGTCAAAAGGGAAGCCAATATTTGGACGGTTCAAAATTTGGAGATCCCTTGCAATCTAGGGGAGAATGCCCAACAGTGAGACATTTTTTTAAGACCGTAAAAAATATTTTATTTTTTCATCAAAATAAACTATTTTAGTATACTTTCAAGGCAACCACTAAAATTAACAATATTGTTATTATTGCATTTGTCTCATTGTTGGGCCCTAAGGTCAAACAGTAAGAAGAGGAAGTTTTAAACAAATAACTATTTATTAATTACTTAAAAAATAGTTAAGAGTATTTATTTGCATTTGGCATAAAACAAAGTAGAGGTGTCTTAAACAAAGAACTTAAAATATATAAACACAAGTGCTAAAAATATAATTAACTTAGTCAACTAACGAATAAAAAAAAAGAGTTTCATAGGTTTTTGTTGTTAATGTAACTTCGACTTAAAATAAAGAAAAACTCTGTTATATAACAAATTCATAAACCAAATAATATATGTGTTAATCTGACATAAAATAACAACGCTAAAATGTTAATATTTAACATTGGACATAATATGTCTGTCAGGGTAGATTGTGACAAAGCATTCATCTGCAGAAGATGAATCTAAAATTGGTTCTTCTCCAGAGCTATCGGAATCAATAAACACTTGTTTCTTCACGCTTCACTCTCTTCACTTTGAATTATCTTTTCTTTGGTTCATATTAAACTTAGCTAAGTATTTTTCTTGTATTGCATTTGCCTATAATTTTTTTTAAATATTACTAACAATATAATACTATCGATACCATGATAGACATGTTCAACAGTGCCAATGAGTGCTCAAAAGGTACCTATGTATGTCCCAGTCTTAACGGGTGCACTGTATGTCGGACACTGTCTCACTGTTGGGCAATATATTTTGTCTCACTGCCGGACATTAACACCAGTCGGCCATTTTGTAATTTATTTTATTCTAAAACTACTTGAACAAAAGAACTTAAAGGTATATTCTAAAAAACCATTCTAAACTTACCTCTCCACTAATAGATTTATTAAAATAACTAAGTGTTGGCCTAACAGACTGAAGAAAACGCACTTGTTAAAAATTATTTTTTGCTTCAGAAATTTTATTGGGTGCAGTTGATATATATCTCCCAACACTGCAGGTTCCATATTTGATACAGAATAGTTGGTATATCGGTAGTGTTTTACTCTCGGGGAAAAAAAGGGGAATTGAATTCGACGCGTTTTAAATGAAGGGGATTAAATGTCTCACTGTTGGGCATTGTCCCCTACCGGTTGCATCTCAAAAGTGGTTCACCCCTATAATTTTTTTATTTCTTGAGATAAAAAAAACGAGATGTGGTATGTTAGTATATGACATAAATTATGATTGATTGACGTATTCAATTGTTTTTGGTCACTTCCTGTTTTACCTGAAATGACTACAACTTTTGATTTTTAAATGGCACCCTCGATCAAATCTATTTTTCAAGGCTCCTTGATTAAGAATTAGTGTTTTTAATCTAGCCATGGCATTCTAGATTGAATTTTAAAATACGATTTTTTATTAAGCGAGAATGTCAAAAGTTGACATATGATATGTCATTCTATTCAGAATGTCATTTTCTAGCGAATAAAGTAAAAAAATACCGAGAGTGCCATTTAAAAATCAAAAGTTGTAATAATTTCCGTTGAAACGGGAAACGGGAACTGACCAAAAACAATTGAATACGTCAATCAATCCTAATTTATGTCATATACTAACATACCAAATCTCGTTTTTCTATCTGAAGAAATAAAAAAGTTAAAGGGGTGCACCACTTTTGAGACGCACCTGTTATATATAATCTCTATGTTTTCAATTCCGATGCACCCGGTATCATCATCATCATTTTCAGCTTATTCAACCATTTCCAATTATTAATTTAAGTTACATATACTTTTGCATTTAAATTTTTTGAAAACCGCAGCAATGTTTGTTGAATTTTAAGACAGCGCACCCTAGAGCGTACAGTGTACTGTTAAATGCTTATATATATGTTTAATATAGAATAAGGTTTATATGGTTTAATATAGAGTAAGCAAACATTTTTTAAACGAGCCCTAGTTTGTTGGATTCCTATTACCCAGCCCAAAGTTATTAACATTTAAATAAAAACAGATCTAACCTTCACCTACCACTTCATTTTAGTAGGAAGGAGGAAATTGTTCAAATATTCGTCATTATTTATGGCACTCCATATATTAACAAAATTTTGTAAAAATTACATTTTCTTATATTATTTGCAATAGCAGTTGGGCCCTCTAGCGGCCATTCTACAAACTTTAAAATAATTTCCAGGAATTTCTCATGACCTCTTTAGTTATAAGTATTTTTTTGCTTAGAATCTACGGCTAATATTCTCCGAGATACAGCCGAGAGGTATTCTTAGCTTAGTCACTCTGTACATAGTTTACTTTATTGTATATTTATGAATATTTTTAGGTGGATCTTTAGTGTCTTTCTTAGCTAGTGGATTACCACAAATCAAATCAGATTTTCGTAAATGGAAAATATTTTTTTGCGATGAAAGATTAGTTCCTGTAGATAACGCTGACAACACATTTGGCCAATATAAAAAACAGCTTGTAGACACTAAAGAAATAAATCTTACCGAGGCTCAGTTTGTGACGGCTAAGCAGAATACTTCAGGTATTTGTTACTTTTTTTAATAATTGCTAAAAAATCATTATTAGTAAGTAGGAAAAAATTAGTAATAGGAAATGTTTAGGTGAAGAGGCCGCTAAGGATTATGAAGATCAGATAAAGAAATTTGTGCCAGGAACTCCATTGCCTCAATTTGATATGCTTCTCCTAGGAATGGGCCCCGATGGTCATACATGCTCTCTTTTTCCTGGGCATACATTATTAGGTATTTGTGCTATTAGGTATACAGTAGGGTTTTCAAACCGTGATCCCGAAATCCCAGGATCCCGGTGAATGTTTAACCTCGAAATGCCGATATTAAATCCCCGGATCCCGAAAATCTTGACAAAATTAAATGTCCAATCTAAAATGATTCGACTTTATACACTTTAGTTTTTCAAAGATCATATTTTATTTAGACTTAGCAGAACGTCAATATCTTAAAGTTATATTTCCGTGCTTGCTATATTTTACTATTTTTGCAACAAGAATTGTATTTTTTTACTTACTAACTGCTAGGGTGCCTAACTACGAATGTTACTTTGTTTTGTCTGTTTTAATAAAGCTGTTTTTTCATTTTCTTTTTGATATACCGGGTGCGTCTCAAAAGTGGCTCACCCCTATAACTTCTACTATTAACTATTTTTTCAAATAAAAAATCGAGATTTGGTATGCTAGTATATGACATAAGTTAGGGATTGATTGACGTATTCAATTGTTTTTGGTCACTTGCTGTTTCACCGGAAATGACTACAACTTTTGATTTTTAAATGGAACCCTCCAAACCCACCAAATATGCTAATGAGCCACCCTTGTTCCATTTGAAAAAATTGAGATATGATTATAAATACGATTTGGGCATCTTTTAACCCGCCAGGCCAAGACACGAAAAACATTATACGATCAAATTTTTCCAAGTCTCCTTCATTAATAATTAGCGTTCATTAACAATTAGCGTTTTTAACACGGCCATATGGCACTCTAGATTGAAATTTGAAATACGATTATTTTTTAAGCGAAAATGTCAAAAGTTGACATATGGTATGTCATTGGTTAGGTTAGGTTGTGCATCACAACCTATTCAGTGTGTCATTTTCTATCAATTAAAGTAGAAATATACGAAGGGTGCCATTTAAAAATCAAAAGTTGTAGTCATTTCCGGTGAAATTGGAACTGACCAAAAACAATTGAATATGTCAATCATTTCCAATTTATGTCATATACTAGCATACCAAATCTCGTTTTTATATTTGAAAAAATAAAAAAGTTATAGGGGGTGAACCACTTTTGAGACGCACCCGGTATATACCTGCATTTGAATTAAGTATTACTTTAGATTAAATTTCTCATTCTGACAGTCAATTCCGGGATCCCGGGATTATAGGTTCTTATCCCTGGATTTCAAAACGGGATCCCGATCCCGACAATTGGAAACCCTAGTATACAAGGTCCGGCAATTGTCCGTCGGGCATCTGTAGCTCTTAAAAAACTTAGATATTTTGTGCAAACCTAAAGTATGTGTTAGGATGTATTTCAGAACAATATTTTCTTCTACACGTTTAAAAAAACGAAGAAAAATTATTTTATATGTTAGATAGTTTGGCATAGAATTTTGAGCACCCTGTATGGTTTACGATTACGATATTTATAGCAAAGTAAGTACAGACCAGCTATAGTAAATACCTAGTATAGTTTTGATTTTGGGACATTTCTTGTATTTTTATTTTTTCTTAAATGGCTGAAAAGAATATTCTTTTTAATTATTTATTAATATCTCTGAAACTATTAAAACATATTTAATAATATTTTAGGATTATGGAAAGTGAACAGAAAGGAAGCTAAAAATGGAATAACACACAGGGTGTTCCATTAAAACCATTAAAAAAAATCCCGTTCCGTTCACACTTTTTTGAGCCATTCTGTAGAAGTTAAAATATTTTCCAGAAATACATCCTAATACATGTTTTAGGTTTACACTTAAACAAAATTCCTAAGTTTTTTACTATAGGAGCACCGACGTGACGTACTATTATTGCCGGACCCCGTATACGATTTTATTAATTTATTTTTTAAGATGAAATTTCCAAATTGGTTGCTTCCATTAGTGATTCGCCTAAACCTCCACCTAACAGAATTACGTTGACTTTTCCCATTATTAATAATGCTAGAGTGTGTGCATTTGCTATATGCGGACAAGACAAAGCCGATATTATAAAGGTAATATAAAAATTACAATACTTTTTTGTGTAGCAAATATTATGTTTATGTAGCCATAGATAAATAAAATAAATTGAGATTGGAATGCTTGTCTTCCGTCCAAAACTATATCCAAAACTTATAATTCTTTTGTATCGCGTTCGTTGTAGGGCGTTGATAGCATTTTCCCTTGCCAAAGTAAAAAATCTTCAAAAATTAAAACCGCCCCACGGTGGGGTATTAGCATGAAAAAGGTGATCGAAATTCGAAAAAGCAAATGTGTTTAAGATTTCGCAAAAAAAGATAAATGATAAGTTAAATCATCTCTGCCATGAATGGCGTTGCTATGGGTGTGTTTAGTTGCATTCATTTGTTTCAACGAAACGTCAAAGTTGTTACTTCTCACAGATAAGAGGTAAATGGCTAAATTTTATGTTTAAAATTATAAATTGTTGTTGTTCTTGTGCTCTTTTTACGTTTATATTATTGTTTTGATTGAAAATGGCTCAGCAAGCTGCAAGTATGTATTCTACAAAAACGTATTATTTATTTTGATATTCCCTATACTAACGATTTTTTTTGCAACTAAAAGTTAGGCGTTCAGAAAATTTGATTAAATTTGTGACATTTTTATTACACTTAGAGGTTTAGTTGCGCATTTCGAAGAATTCAGCATATTGTCTATACACGTTTTACTTAGTAAACATTGGGCTTTCATACACTAAAATAAAATACTGCGACTTTTTGCGACTTTGCTGATAAAATGAGAAAAACATTCTTGGTTTCCTCTAATTTGCCAATCATTGATATACTAATGCGAGGTGTAAACCGCGATGGCATTCTTGTGTACAAAGCGATCGCATTAGTGCCATTAGCAGTATAGCACAATTTGGCATTAGTAGCGACTTTAGTGGTATGGGCATTGCTCGCGGATCAGTCGTAGCATTAGTAGAATTAGTTGCGATATTACTACTGGCATTAGTGGCATTGACCGTGGAAACACTGGAACAGTGATTTTTCTTTCTTTTTTTAGAATCGATGAATTATCCTTTATTTTGTTCATATTATTTCCTCTTTAATTGAAAATAGCAATAATTTATATAAGGTCTACATAAAAAAATTTCGATCAACTATCTCTTACCCCACTGTGGCGCCCTGCCTTGTTGAAAAAATACCGAAAAGCGTTTAAAATGTTTTTTTATTCAAAATTATTTTTGCGATCTTGTGACTTTATTTTTGAATTTTATTTGGACAACTCCGAGATAACTGTGAAAAAGTGCATTTAGAAAACTTAAAAACCGCTGTGTGAAAATATGCAAAACATGCTGCTGTATGAAAAACTGTATTTCAGGTTTTTCATACATGTTCTAGAGAGACACGCGGAGAGGAAGACCGGGAAGACGACCGAATATATGAGCTCTGTCGTCTGAAGAGATTAGACTAATTAAGTTTTTCTTCCACATAATTACTAGATTTATTATTGTATTTATATTAAAATAAATAGTAAACAAAATATACAGTCCACATCTTTAATTAATAAAAACTACCAACAAACACGGGCATTGGTATCTCGGAAACCGTAATAGATACGAAGATGGTTAAATTGGGGTAAAGTTGCGCCTAGTGCTGTTCACCAAGATGCCATCAAAAAAGTTTTAAAAATTTCAAGGATTGCTGAGTTTTTTGGAAAAAACGGATTTTTTTGAAAACTAACTTTATTTTTTCCTGTCGTTACTTTTTAGAAAAATAAAAAACTAATTGCACATTCTCATAGCCACTTTATTAGGGCTATCTGAAAGTATTTTTAGATTTTGAAATTAGCTGATAGTTTGTGAGATACAGAGGCAAACTTATTTTTTTTAAATACGGACCTGCATTTTTTATTTCAGATTTTGAAAGAACTTAGTCTCCTGAGTACAATGATATTCCACACTTTATACTTTTTTGTTGTTTAGGGTACAACAAAACTATTTAATTATTATTTAAAAAAAATTCAAGTCCAACTCTGTTTTTAAATTATTTAATCTGATTATATTTATCGCAACAATATTGATCAGTGCTAATTAACATTGAATAAGGAAAATTGAGCCAATTGAAAGATTCAAATAAATAATATCCAGATCAGCAATTTAAAGCTATTATTTTTAACTTTTCTTATTGTGAATTTGAAATTCTTAGTGTACGATCTAATAATTTGCATAATATTAATCGTAGTTATTATGATTAAATTAACTTCTACAAACTAGTTTCTAATGCTCTACATAGTCTACATGTTCAAAAGGGTTATTACCACCCTCCCTATTGCACAAATTTATTTTTCGTTCAATTTTATTTATATTTATTATTAACTTTTGAATAGATCTTCTTTTTATACTTTCGAATGCATTTGTACTCTTTATTGTAACTGCCTAGATGTGTTGATTTCACTTTTTTGTAAAATTTGGACCTGTCGAATTACTTGACGTCATCAGACGGTCCAGGAACCTCGCTGGCCATTATACTGCTCTACCATTTCCAATCCATCTTCCGGGGAAATGATTTGATTTTTTATTTTATATTTTATTGCATTTGATTTTCCGTATTCAACCCACGTCACTGTTAACTTTGAAAGCTTATCAATACTGTAACGATGAATATATTAAATATTAAAAAAGAACAGAGTCGGACTTGAAATTAGTTTAAATAAATTGTGTGCAAATTTCCAAAACAAAAAAAATATTAAGTGTGGCATATCATTGTACTCAGGAGAGCGAGTTCTTTCAAAATCTGAAATAAAAAATGCAGGTCCGTATTTAAAAGAATTAAGTTGGCCTCTGTATCTCACAAATTATTAGCTAATTTGAAAATCTAAAAATACTATCAGATAGTCTTAATAAAGTGGCTATGAGAATGTGCAATTAGTTTTTTGATTTTCTAAAAAGTAACGACAGGAAAAAATAAAATTGATTTTCAAAAATATCCGTTTTTTCCAAAAAACTCAGCAATTCTTGAAATTTTTAAAACTTTTTTGATGGCATCTTGGTGAACATCCCACAGCGCAACTTTACTCCAATTTAACTATGTTCGTATCTATTACGGTTACCGAGTTACCAATGCTCGTACCTCGAATTTGTAGCACCCTGTATATAATTCTTAGTTTCGGAGATACATGGTGTAGAGTAGTTTCGTTTTTATTTCGATTTTTTCCAAATAATTTCCGAAGTAACGTCAATATTGGGATGAAAATTGGTATCTGGTAGTTTTTTGACATGAGAAATTTAATTTTGATATTAATATGACTCCTACTTGTAGAGGGCGCCACCTACATATTTTTGAATTATTTTGAAGAGTAATAATTTTTGTCCGTATCTGTATTTTTGTCCGTCTAAATTATGAATACCATAATTTAAATAAATTAATACCATCATTGCCATAAATTAAACATGTCGACTAAATAATTATTAGACTGAAATGATAAATTTGAAATATTTTTGTACCAAAAAAGTTCCCAAATTTATCAGTTCAGTCAAATAACTACCTATCTACTCAATATGTTCGTTTTTTGTCAAAAAAGACATGTATTGACTATTTTCATTCCAAATGTCTTCAGAACGGTTGCTCGTAGCGATTTTTACCAAGAGATCTTTTTTACGTAAAAAATCATCGTAAATGTATATTTTTTACTCAGTAGTTTTATACAGGTACGGACGAAAAGTTATTCCTCTTCAAACTAGTTAAGAAATATGTAGGTAGCGCAAGTCTACAAGTAGGAGTCATATTGACATCAAAATCAAATTTCTATTGTAAAAAAAACAGATACCAATTTTCATCCAAATATTGACGTTATTTCTGAAATTATTTGGAAGAAATCGAGATAAAAATGAATCTTCTACACCCTGTATCTCCGAAACTAAGCATTTTAGGACATACATTTATTCGAACTTTTTTACTTATATTTATCCCCAGAATATGCTGCCAAAGTTTCCGGAATCCAGTTCGGATCACCCTGTATACTAACATCCAAAATTTGTTTTCATTTGAAAAAAATAAAAAAGTTATAGGGGTCCATTAGGAGTCAGCCACTTTTGAAAAACACCTGATAGATACTGTTGAATTGAACTAACAAAGCACATATCTTTTAATTTTAATAAATAGGAGTGTTTTAAATTTGAATCGATGCGAACGTATTAACAGAATAGATTAATACCATGATATAAAGAAAACAAGGTATGATATTGCGCAGGTTCGTCACTACGTCACAGATGATAACGACACCATTGGTCGGTAAGCTCCGCGCGCCAATTTCAAATCGTCAAACTGATGACACAATAAATTTTAAAATGACTTTTCAAATGTCAAGCTTCCCATATTTTAAGTCTTTTTTTTATTAGTGGCAATTGAACAATATGGATATTTTTTTATGGCGTATTACGTCACAGGTGATATGCGCAAACTGAAGGAAATTGGGGCCGCTATCGATCATACCTTGTTTTCTTTGTATCATGGATTAATACCATATGATCGAAAAAAAAACGGCGTCCAGTTGACGTGGAAATGGCGATCGAAGACACCCCCATATAATTTTACATATACCTAAAATGAGAGCGATCTTCATTTCATAGCCATTGCTGACGCCGTTTTTTTTATTATATTGTATTATAAGTATGTGAACACTAATTTTCCAAAGGCCATATTAAAAAAAAGTTTGTTAACTTGACTTTTAAGCGTATTTGTAAAACGTGTCTAATCAACAATCTAATCAAAACTAATTGCTATTTTTATTCGATCATAATATCCATCGAATCTTTAATTTTTTATCTACGATATAAAACTAAACTAAAAACATCTCATAAAGCTTTTTAAAACGTACTTTTCAATATTATAATTGAGTTTGAATTTGAACTAACCCTATAGAACAGAAAATAATAAATCTATATTTATTATATACAGGGTTGTTCACCACATACGACACGGAGTATTGTATCCAAACGATGATATTTTTACAAATTGTAAGTTTGGGGTTCGTTGAAGGACTATTAGAGCTACAATTTAAAAATATTTTTACAAGATACAGAGTGTACCAAATAAATAAAAAATATCAAAGTTGTATTTTTTTAAATGGAACACCCTGTATATTATTGCATTTTTAGTTTCTACGATTAAAATAAAGGTAAATTTGATTAAGGTTTATTACACTTAAACCTTACCTTACCGTTTTTGAAATATTTTCAATTTTGCGAAGTTGCAGTATAAATTTTAAGGCTTCATTTCTTCGAGGATATCAAAGTTTTTAATACTAAATATTTACTGAAGTTTATTTATTGATCAGTTATTGTGTTGCAATAATAAAAATTATGCTACCTTATACAGAGTGTCTAAAAATGTTTTTTAAATAATTACTAGCTTTAAATGGCAGTAACTTATTTAATTTAAATAGAACACCCTGTATATTTTATGAGAATCAGATGCACAATTTAATTGTCTATCAAATTGTATTATACCACTTCTTACCTATTCCTTCAAGTTTTCGTAGAAAATGCATTTTCTTACAATTTAGACCTCATGTATCAATATATCCATGGAATATTGACATTTTAGATTGTTTTTAAAACAACAAATGTACAAAATGTACAGGCTAGTAATATTATCGTTTTTAGTAAAACGATAATATTAGTAGCCCATTTGTATGCAAAAAGAAAACTATTTAAATCTTTATAAAAGAGTATACCATTAATTAAATATACCACCAGTATTTCCGCCCAAATACTAATTAACTACATACTTAATTGTATTGGTTAATAAATTATTCTAAATAAATGTGGATTTGAATCAGAAATCAATATAATAATAAGTTATGAAAATGAACAATGAACGTCTCTGTTGTTATAAATAAGCATTTGTCAAAAAATTAAATATAATTTTTAAGGTGTTACTTTTTACCACACTGTCTTAATACATGGGTATATTGATAAATGAGTTCTAAATTACAAGAAGATTCATTTTCTACGGAAACTTGAAGAGATAGGTAAAAAATGGCATAATACAATTTGATAGACAATTAAATTGTGCATCTGATTCTCATAAAATATACAGGGTGTTCCATTTAAATTAAACAAGTTATTGCCGTTTGGTTTGGTTGCGTTAAAGCTAGTAATTATTACAATAAATTTTTAGACACTCTGTATAAGGTAGTAAAGTTTTTATTATTTCAACACAATAGCTGATCAATAAATAAACTTCAGTAAATATTTATTATTAAAAACTTTGATACCCTCGGAGAAATGAAGCCTTAAAATTTATACTGCAATTTCACAAAATTGAAAATAATCAAAAAAGGTAAGGTTTAAGTGTAATAAACCTTAATCAAATTTACCTTTATTTTAATCGTAGAAACTAAAAATGTAATAATATATAGGGTGTACCATTTAAAAAAATACCACTTTGATATTTTTTATTTATTTGGGACACTCTGTATGTTGTAAAAATATTTTTAAATGGTAGCTCTAATAGTCCTTCAACGAACCCATAACTTAGAATTTGTAAAAATCTAGTCGTTTAGCTACAATACTCCGTGTCGTATGTGGTGAACAACCCTGTATATTTTATTAACGAAATTTATAAATTTATGTTTTAGAGAATACATATCGATGAAGAAGATTTACCGGCAGCTAGAGTTAAACCTGTTGGTAAAGTATACTGGATTCTTGATAAGGCAGCTGGCAAGTACTTGGTTTAGAAATTATTAATTTTGTTGGATAATGGAAATTAATAAAAGGATACTTATTATATAGTTGTAAAAATTATTTCAACCATTTCCATATTTTATAGTATATAGTATTTTTTGACCTTATTTTATAACTAATGCAAATGTAAAAAGCTCGCAAATAAGTATTGAAAATAATACATATTAAATTTTCCATTACCAAACCAACAATAACTCATGGATGAGGAATGCAAAATGTTTGGGAGGGGGGTTTATCGCCGCGGCTTTACAAATCTTTTGTGTGTCCCTCTTTCTTGAGTTATAATCTATCTATTACGCCAGCACCTCTTGCGGCTGGAACCTGTTCTAATCACACGTACCGACCTGCGCATTAAAGATTCTCGGCCGTGACGTTATCTATGAACTGAACTGGCTTTTATTTTTCTAACGGTACTGCCAATGACTAAAGAATCCAAGGACATATAATATCCGAGACCAAATTGTTACCATGGCTTCAAACAGTGCCGTGGCAATATATTTTTCTTAACTTAGCTGCTTGAAGGGATATTTATATTTTTGATAAATGTTTTGACTACGCCTATGGTGTAGGCGGTGGTATCATAGTAATTAATTACGAAAAAAACGTATTAAAGTGTTAACAAAATATACAAAACTAGTATCGACGATTAGCACATATCAAGTACATATAGTATCAGAAAAATAATTACCAAATTCAACAGGAGAACGCTAAAAATGTGGAGTGGACTGTTTATTTACTTATGGAAACGCAACTCCTGGCTCTTTCTTATCATTGCGGCTTTTAAACTTGAAAGCTGAACACATCACCATTGTAATGAAGTTTAAACAAAGCTCACTACACACAACAAATTATTAAACATCGCTAAAATTGTCACTGTTGACGAGGTGGTGACTCATCCGTAGGCTCCAATATGATGGCGTCTAACGTAACAAATTCTGCTGCAGCCCGTATGGGCGTTACATGTCCTTGTATTTTTTAGTCATTATATTGCTCTCATCTACAGGAGTGGGGACAGCAACACTTCGATATCAGCGCGCGGCGTATCGAGGAAAGTATCGATAGATGCGAATCCCCAAAACTCTACTGCATAAAAACAAGTACTGAATAAAATTATTATTTTACAAATAATTCGATGGCCTTAATTATAAATCTAATAAAACTGAACTAACTTAACAAAACCGAATTAATTTATAACAGTTAGCTTTATTACAATATATGGCTACATTGTATTTCTTCTTTTAATCTTTTTATTCAATGGTATCACATATAAAACACGCTAGACTATAAAACTTTTGGATTACACTTAGTACAACCTACTTATTCTACCATATTTTACGTAACAACATTTTATGGATTTGCATGTCTAAGGTAACTTATGCCCGATGAATTGCTACATAATTTGTTACATTCTGATATACTTTTTGTAATGTCATGGGAAGTTAATATCGTTTCATTGCTACCAAATTTGGTGTGAATTCTATGTTACCATCGAAAACACTACACAGATTCCAAGCAAAAAAGAATCCAATATTTCGTTCACAACATCCTCAAAGCGAGAAATATTTTATTTTGAAGAAAATACTGGTCTTCTCTCAACATAATTGTCAGCTACTGACAAGAGACTATGGAGGCTCTAGCTTTATGGAGTAGACTATGGAGGCTTCTAGCCTCCATACAAGAGACTTAACAAGAGAGTCTGTTTACATATCTAAATTTTGTTCGAATTTTATGTACGCTTGATCAAAACAGCAACCGTTTTCTGGCAAAAGTTAATGCTCAAGAATTTTGCACGACTGTTGGCCAATTAGCCATAAATCTTTGCAGGTTTTAACAGGGTAGTACGTTTCCTAAAGCAATATTAACATTTTAATTATTTTCCGAAAAATAAATTAAAGTATAACGCTAAGACGTAATTTTCAGAGATGCACGGAACAGCGGATATTTGCCAAATACCTAATATTCGTTAGATGCAATATACTGAATACCGTCTTCTTCTTGCGGTGCCGTGCCGTGCCTGTCTTCAGGCGTTGGCGATCTCCATGACTATTTCAAGTTTGAAGAGTTCTTTATGAGTTCTTTATCTTTTGCTGCATGAAACAGCCTCTCCACCCTAGACCGGTTAGATTCCGATCATCCAATCATACGGTATTATAATGTAAAAAATATACCCTATTATCGAAAAATAAAACGGCGTTATGTTGCAAAATAAAAACACTAAATCACCACAATACACCAAAAACACTTTTACTTTTACACTGGACGCGCGTTTCGCTAACCATGTTAGCATCATCAGCAGATGATTATAAACTGAGTTTATGGATTTGTACTCTCGAGGATGCTAACATGGTTAGCGAAACGCGCGTCCAGTGTAAAAGTAAAAGTGTTTTGGTGTATTGTGGTGATTTAGTGTTTTTATTTTGCTGTGTAACACCAAAGGTTCCAACCCTCAACTGTAATAAGGCGTTATGTTGGCTTGAAAATTACTAAATCGATGAACTTCAACTTATTATATACAACTTATGTATCCTCGACAGTATCCTTCTACATTTTTCTTATTGTTTGCACCGTCACGCCACTGATGGAGTGAAATGACAGAAAGACAGACGAAACTCAACCGTGTTGTCATATTTATGTACCTATCTCTTTTTAACTCTCATAAAAGTGCCAAACCATGTATGATTCTAAAAAATTGAGTTTTATGAATGGAGTGTTCTGTCTACCTATATTTAGATGTCTTTGGTTATTTCCACGCCAAGTGGACGCCAATCATATGGTACTTTTCTTAATTTGGTTTTGATATAATTTTGATACTTATATCGCAGCTTATACCGTATGATCGAAAAAACTGCGTCCAGTTGGCTTGGAAATGACGATCGATGACATTTCCCATATAATTTTATACAGGTTGTTTCAAAAAACATGCCATCTCTCGTGGGGAGATTCCTCACGTAAAAATAAGATTTATTTTTCATATCAACATAGGTCCGATTCTGCTTTGTTTTCTAGCTACAAGGTGTTAGTCTTAATATTTTTTCGATTTATTATACTTTTCTTCCAAGTCCTAGTAGCTTTTCGAATGAAATTTTGAGGGTAAAAGGTACTAGAAATGCGACATATTTTAAGGCTAAAAAAGTGTCGCCATATTCACAAGGGGCGTGCATATGGGTTATTACTGGAATATTTTTCTAAAAAAACATGTATGCCACTGATTTTTTTTCCTTTGTTAGCGAAATAGTGTAAGCAGATTAATGCCAATAAAAAGTTGTCTCTTGATATTTTGTCGATTTCGGTCTCCTTATGATGATATAAACGCAATTTTATTAATTTGCCTTTATCCAATAAGCCTAAAAGCAACCTTTAAAAAAAATTAATATCATTAACTCGAGAAAGTTTCACATAAGTACTCATTGATTCATCATCAAAAAATATGAAAAAAAGTTCCTATAAACATGGGTATGAAAATGCATAGTTTTAGAGATACAGAGGATGTTAAATCTTTTTAAAATTAGGTTTTTTGTAATAATTATCTTAAATACCATATTTTTATTATTTGAAATTGCCGTATGCTGGACTAAGAGTAATAATAACTAATAGTAATAATATTTAATAATTAGGTAAAATATATAATTTATTAATTTCATTTTTATTTTAATTTTATTAATTGTGATTAATAAAATTGCGTTAATCTCATCAAGAAGGCCGAATTCGTCAAAACATCAAGAGCTTGATCAAGAGATATCTTTTAATTGGCATTAAATTAGCCTACACAGTTTTGATATCAAAATAAATAAAGTCAGTGGCGCGCATGTTTTTTTTTTTAATATTTCAGTGATAAGTGATAACCCATATGTACGTCCCTGATAAATTTATCGACACTTTTTTAGCATTAAAATATGTATCACTGTAATTTTTACCCTCAAAATTTCATTCAAATCACTTAGAGTACTTAGAAGAAAATTATAATAAATCAAAAAATTATTAATAGAACACCCTACAGGGTGCTACAGTAGCTACAGGGTGTTTTCGTAGCTACGAAACAAAGCAGAATTGGACTTGAATTGGACCTATGTTGATTTGAAAAATAAATCTTATTTTTACGTGAGGAATATCCCCACTCGAGTTGGCACATGTTTTTTGAAACACCCTGTATATAAAATGACAGCGATCTTCATTTCATAACCATCGCTGACGCCGTTTTTTCATAAGCATCATCATATTGTATAACGTCTATATCGATATATTTTAGAATACCCATCCCTAATCTAGATTCTAGAAACCTAACCTAATGTAACATAATAACATATGACAGTTGTCAAATTTAATTTTTACAGTTTTTACTAGACCTATTTTAAAAATGAAATAATTTTCAAAGATATTATAAACCATTAATTACAAAGATGTATTATTGATGTAATCTATTCAATTATAACATAGCAGTCGGTAAAATTTCAAATCATGCCACAGAGATCTAATGAAATAAATGTATCTAGAGCGGCTCCCCATTATCTACATGAGCTACCCCAAGAGGATGAAGAGAGATTGGAAAAGTTATTTATTAAACTTGATAAAAATGGAAATGGAAAAATTGATATACACGATCTAACGGTTGCGTTACAAGAACATGGGATGCATGAACGTTATGCAGAGGTATGAAGTTTTCATATGGATATTTGTAAAATATTACTATGTTGTTTTAGTTAATTTAATTTATTTGACTATATATTTTTTCATTTACATAACATAAATTACTATCCAAAATATTGCATATTTTGTATATTTATTCCCTTTTAGTCACAATCATTAATATTTTTTTAGAAATTTATTAAAAACAGTCGAACATCAAGTGAATTTCTATCCTTGGCTGATTTTATATATTACGTGAGAGAACATGAGAAGAATTTACGGTTACATTTTTCCAGTATGGATAAGAATAGAGATGGTAAGTAAATCTTTTAGATTATGGATTAGAATGGAATTGCTTTTTTGGAACACTGGTTTACCCAGGGTTCTAAAATATCTTCATGTCTGTTATATTTAAGATTCTTTACTCTAATCTTTGTTACAAAATATGGTGGCATTGGTAGGTAATATTTTGATAAATATACAGGGTCTGGCAATAGTGTGTCGGACATCTGTAGCTGCTAGATTAAAAAAGTTGGGAATTTTTGTGCTGTATCCGCCTCTGCCTGGTTAATAATTTCGTGCAGAAGATCTTCCTGAATCATTTTTCTTTAAAATCTGACTTGCTGGTTGCTAATTCACTATTTTATCATTAAAAAATCGCGATTTATCAAAATGACGTCTTAATGTCAGTGCTATTTATTATTTACAAAAAAAAACGCACATCTATATTGCATAGTAACATAACCGCACCCTGATAATTTATTAATTCGTAATAATGAAAGTAGAACTGGTAGACACTTTTAAATCAATTATTCCTTAGAGATTGGACATGAAACAGTTCTGCTGTTGGATAAAATTTTGTATGGCACTCGCGTGTTATAACATATAAGTCACTTGAGAAAATTAGAAGCTAAACATTTCCCAGAGTGACTTGTAAGATAATACACTAGTACCATAAATAACTATTTTTTTTTTTGAAAAAGTTACAAACTCAATAGAATCAACCATACAAATGAGGCAAAAACAAATAATAAATGCAACATGTACACGTGCACAAATGTGAAAGACCGCTGATTAAAAAGTAACGGCGCACACATTATCGGTTTTTACGAACATGGACGAACCGACGATTAAGATTTCAATCAAAGGTAGAAATTTTTACCGACGGTGATGATATCTGTGTTGTGGCACAGACTAATCAGTTTTAATCTTCGTTGTTAATCGTGGCGATTAAAAATGACAAAAATGAACAAAGTCTGTGGGACCCTTAATATATGAGTATATGTATATATTTCGATAGTTTCAGAGATATTAATAAATAAATAAAAAATACATATTTTTTAGTCTTTCTTAAAAAAATTATTAACAATAAACGAACTGTCCTAAATCGAAACTATATTAGGTATTTTCTTTAGATAGTCTGTACTTACTTCGATATAAATATGGTAATCGTAAATTTAACAGGATGTTAAAAATTCGACGCCAAACTTTCTAAAATATAAAATAATTATTCTTCGTTTTTCTTTAAATGAGACACCTTGTATATCATTTTTTCAATAGATTGAGAATTAAAAAATGAACAATTTTTGTATTTAAAGTATTTCAAATTTTTTAAAGGTTTCGCAGATATTCGCGGTTTTATATTTCATATGGCATTTTCCACAGTAAATTTTTATCAAAGCCGCTGATTTTTCGCTCGTATTTTACCGTTGTAGCTGTGAGTGTATCTTCGAAACCATTAAAAATTTTAAAATACTTTAAATACAAAAAATGTTCATTTAAAATTTAAAGAAATATCCATCTAATAAAAAAATAATCTATAATACATGTTTTTTACTGAAAAAATTATTTACATTTTAATTGTAATGTGTAATGCATTATCAACGCTACCTAAAAAAATGTTAAATATAAAGTGCAATGGACTGCCGCCATCGAGGGTGACTTCAAGGTAGCTTTTCATATGTGGCTGAATCGCCGTAGAACCTCCACCAAAAGAAAAAAAACTTATTACTGGAAAAAGTCGTTATTATAAGCAACATAGACAACAAATAAATTTATTAAAACAGTATAGTAGTTATTTTTTCAGTAGGAAAAAAATATCCAAGTTATAATGATTCATAGTTAAATGCATAAAACTTGTTAGTGCATAGACTTGTTAAATGAGACAATTAGAATATTGGGGAAGGCAAAATGCTAAGATATTAGAATGCTTAATATGATACCATTACCTTTTTAAATAATCTAACGTCACTATAGACAATATTTATTTCTCATTTTTTGCATTCATTTGCTGTCCTCCATTGTCCTCCATACGCCGTTGTGCAGCTCTGAACTGTTCAAGAACGCGATACTCTCCCTCCATTCAATTGAGTCATAAAGTTCAGAACTGTTCCGCGTCAGGCTATCGCGTACAGCTCCTTTCAGAACCGTTCTGAGTAGCCCAGGGCTCTGGAACTTGAAATTCGCGAATGGAGGGCAGCAATTATTGGAGTCCACTAAACACTGTACTATACAGGGTGTCCCAGAAATAAGTGCAAATATTTTAAAGGTAGATCTCGATAAGAAACATATTATCTCTTTATCGTTTTTCAAATAAGTCCAAAGTAACGGAGTTATTTTACTTTGAAAATTTCCAAAAAAATTATTTTTTGCTAACATTTTGAGAACCACTGGATCTTTTCTGGATTTACTTTCTTGTTAATTTAATCTACTACCTATGTTGCCATATTATCCAGAAATTATGTTTTTTAACTAAAAACTAAAAAATTTCCAAAAAAATTTTCAAAAAATTCCGAATTTTCAACAATTTTTTTTCGCGAAAAAAAATCTCATAGGCGTGTTTCTGGGGTTGAACTATACTACCAGTTAAAATAATAGCACTTATTTATGGGACACCCTGTATTAATAATTCTTCTTAAATTCAAATTACACTTACTGTAATCGGCAAAAGCCGTCAAAACCGTTGTGTCGAACGCGGTCGCCGGGGCTCTGTAGTGGCGTGACGTAACGTTTGGCCACGCCCCGTTCTCGCGCAATAAATGTGTGTGTTTGTAGGTGTTTTTGAGATACCAAACGTGCAAATACAATTCTAATTTTTTGTAGATCTATTATTTTTTAGTTGTAGTTTGGATTGGTTAAATAAAAAAAATATGAAACAAGCCCATTATAGTCCAAAAGCAAGAAAAAACAGCAGTTAAATAGTCTCTCTGATTTAGGTTTTTATTTATTTTTTCAGGGAAAATTGATCTGGAGGAGCTTATTAGGGCATTCTGTGATTTAGGAATACCATTGGATCGAAGTGAGGCAACAAATTTACTCCAAAGGTAAGAAAGAAGTTTATCTACATAGATAAGATTTAGATAAAACTATTTCATGTTAGTTTTTGCATGTAACGGAACGTTTAAGATTCATGTAATTCGTGAGCGGTTTCTGTATTAACAAACAGAATTGTAGGCGGCTAAGCAATACATTTGATTATTTAGGGTGGATGCAACGACGTCCCGTAATCCTGCTGTTAAAACATAACAGCTGGTTTTTATATATAAAAACAAATTGTTATGTTTTAACTGCAGGATTACTGGACGTCGTTGCAGTCACCCTTAGTAGGCAGTTGGCCTTATTAGATTTTGTTCAAAAGTTTTTCTTGTATTATCTAGTTTAAACCTTCGTTTCTTGTCAGCTCATCTTTTGAATTGTTTCTTGTATTACCACAGTGAATTTTTTTTTATATGTTTATATTATACCGGGTGCGTTAAAAGTGGCTCACCCCTATAACTTTTTTATTTTGTGAGATAAAAAAATGAAATTAGGTATGTTAGTATATGACATAAATTAGGATTGATTGACGTATTCAATTGTTTTTGGTTACTTCCTGTTTCACCGGAAATGACTACAAGTTTTGATTTCTAAATGGCACCCTCGGTATTTTGTTACTTTATTCAATAGAAAATGACACTCTGAATATAATGACATATTATATGTCAACTTTTAACATTTTCGAATATGGTTTATTTGAAATTGAAACATGCGATTCACAACGAGAATTTGACTCGAAATACCAGTGTGTGGTACCAAATTATTCGTAAAAAATGCTTTTTCCAAATACGCTAATGAGCTACCCTCCTTCCATTTGAAAAAATTGAGATATAATTAAAAATACGATTTAGTCATCTTTTAACTGGACGACTAAACTCTTTTTAACTAAGACACTAAAAACATTAGAAGATCAAATTTATTTTTCCAAGGCTCCTTGATTAAAAATGGGTGTTTTTTAACACAGCCATGACACTCTAGATTGAAATTTAAAATGCAATTTTGTTTTAAGCGAAAATGTCAGAAGTTGACATATGATATCTCATTATATTCAGAGTGTCATTTTCTATGGAATAAAGTAAAATATAATACCGAGGGTGCCATTTAAAAATCAAAAGTTGTAGTCATTTCCAGTGAAACAGGAAGTGATTTGAAAACAATTGAATATGCCAATCAATCCTAATTTATGTCATGTACTAACATACCAAAACCAAATCTCGTTTTTTTCCTGAAAAACTAAAGAAGTTATAGGGGTGAGCCACTTTTGAGACGCACCCGGTATAACGAATTCGTTGCACAGGCTGATTTTCATCGAATAAATTTGGTTTAAACTGGTTGAAAATATACTTTATCAGAACTCGCATTTAGTAATAACAACTAAAATTTCAAATAAAATTGATTAAATGGCAGCCAATATGTTTTTACAATATGCATATTTACATATAGTTCAAATTTACATAGTTTCTCTTTCAACGATATATTTATCATAAGTTGGTATTTTTTTTCAAAACTATGGCGTACGTATTAGTGATGGGTATTACGATTCTTTTTAGTGAATCGAATCACACGATTCAATTTCTTATATTGAATCGACACCTACGATTCGTTTACCTGAACGAACCACATGCACAATATACGTATTATAAATAGTATATAATACAGATGACATTCTCCATATAATTTTAAAATGTCAGCAATCTTCGTTTCATAACCATCGCTAACGCCGATTTTTTTATCATATTGAGCAGAGGCCAAGAATATTTATTGGGAGTTGCATAAAAACACGATTTCATCTTTTAGTCCGACATTTAATGGTTTATAGTCGGTAAATATTATTTTAACAAAAATATTAACGTGAAAATTAAATGCATTACAGATACTCCCGTACTAACCACAGTATAAATACGTTTTTTCTTGTAAATAACCTTCTTACCGTTTGCATTTTATGCCCATGATGTTTTGATGATGTTTATTTAGGGCTTTTGTTCAAGTCTAAATATTGGTGCCCGACCCTTCTCTATGCCTGTATCATCGCCGCGCCGCGCCTTAGAAACGAACTAGTCGCATTGTGATCCGATTCAATTCTTACGAGTCTTTTTCATGGCTCATCGTTCAAATGTTGTGGATCCGTGCTGGCCACGATTCAATTGAACGAACCGTATTGTAAGCAATGAATCAATTCTCACTCTTTGAACGAACGAGACGTTGAAACGAACGATCGCATTGTGATCCGATTTAATTCTCACGACTCCTTTTTACAACTCATTCGTTCAAATTTTATGGATCCGTTGGTATCTACCAGTCATATATACCGAATTATCTGGTTAGAGACCATTCGGTATGTATGACTGGTGGTATTATGTGTATATATCGTGACAACGATAACAATCTGTAGTTATAGTTTCTGTTTATAGTGTGCCGTTTTTCAATAAAAGTTTTCTAAGTTTTACGTTTACTCCTGGTTTATTCTCAAGCCTAGTCTTGAAACAATATTACACTGTTCTGGCCACGATTCAATTGAAGGAACCGTATTCTAAGCAGTGAATCGAATGTCACGATTTATTTTTAATACTCGTTCAAATGAACGACTCCTTCATTTTTTGCCTACCTCTAGTACGTATAGCAATTTTATTTAAAATTCGCTATTAATTGAAGTTATTTGTTATATGCAACATCAGATCAAACCGTTCACTTAAATATGTGTCAGAAGGGATTCTTTTGTTGATTGTCGATATTATGATTTTGCATTCAGTCGCTCAAATATATGATTAATTTTACCTTAAAAGAAGACTTTTATTTTTTATTTACAATGTCGAAACTAACTTTTCAATTTCTTTTCGAAATTACAATACGAATTGGTCCTCAAACATAATAGGATGACTATGTCAAATTGCCTGTTGAAAAAAGACGATAATAACAATTTTGCTGATATCCCTTTTCAAAAGACAACTTATTAGTTGTCTTTTGAGTTGATTATATTTAATCCCGTAGAAGCTGTGAAATGTTCGTAGCAGTAAACAGAACTGAAGGTCTTTGGATTAAGCCTTAAACCATTCAGTTAAACATTTTCCACAGACAATTAAATAAAATAAATAAATGTTTATTAATGGACTGGCCAATTTTTACAAAAATAAAAGATAAAAATAAATTAAACATAAAAATAATAAAAACTCAATAAACAACAAACCAAACCAATATAAAGTAAAGTAAAATTTAAGAAGGTACTAACAAGTTTCATGCAGCCTAAAAAGTTTCATATTTAAAATATTTTACGTTTCTATTAAAACAATACATGAGTCATTAAAAAAATCTATGTTAGTAATTCTGGAACATGAAGAATATCTTCCTTCATGTGTTCTCACCGAAAAGTGTGTTAAAGAGGACGATATACCAGAATTATCGGAATCCCCAGTAATTCCATATATATTGTTCATTTTTCACCCTTTTACTAGGCAGCAACTCCAAATTGTCACTATCTAAAGTGGGGGTAAAGAAATCAGTCATACCATCGTCACTTATCCTTAATTATTATCTATAGATAATTATGAAAGTGTACAATTTAAAATTTCCGAAGGATTTACTCCACACAAACTCACAAGCAAAAGTATAACGCACACGTATTCGAATTCGTAAAAAATAATCAAGACCGAAGCATCAGCCGGACGCCAGACCAGATTCAGCTGTTAAAAATCGATAATCCCTGCCAAAATGCTTTAATGCGCAAGTCAACCCAAACAGTTCTCAATTTGGACCATGTACCGAAATTACCGTTCTGAAATCGTAACTAAATGATCCCAAGGTAGGCTGGTACGCAAATAGGATCGTCTGATAACCGTCAAATTTCGGTTGGAACACATTTGAATTACTGCGCACATGCGTAATGGTTTGTTGACGGTTTTGCGGCGCGGCAGGTTGGAACAAACCTCTAAACTAGTTGAAGCCTGGCGCATCCGCCATGACATCAGGAAAAAAATACTTTTTATTTTTTGTTTAATTAAATGAAAAACAAAAAACCCGGCGACGACAATTTTTAGAAGAGCCAATTAGCTATCTTTTAGTAAAAAAGCAACTTTCTAGAGCAAGTCGTTACTTCAGTAGAGACGACACAGATAAACATTAGCATTTTATATATATGTAGATTGTGAATGTTATCAATCGTAATTTTCAAGCCAATTTGACGCTGTTTTTTATCAAACAGTATATTTTGGTCAACTTAATGAAAAATTAACAAAATAATTAAACAGCACACGAGAAAAACGATGAGTGTCCAAAAACGGGGATAAATGTTCAGGAAAACGGTTTTTAATTCAAATTACGGATGGACATTTATTGTTTTCCCCATTTTTAAATGCTTGTTTCTATGTGACCGTTATCGATATTCCCGTTTTTTTTTATATATTCCCATTTATTTCATTATTTTTCCCTGTGCTCTTCAATTCCTTTTGGCACATTTTCAAGAGATGAGTTCACTTCATCGTTATTATTAGTTTCAAAATTGAGCCATATTAAATTTAAAGTAAAACTGGTCTTCGCTGCTGTTTTGCAAATTATTATTAACTTAGATTCAACTTTATATATCGTTGATAAGAAAATTTTAAGTTCTACGGAAATATGTAGAAATATATAGGGTATTCCTTAATGACATGCTAACATTTAAGGAGGCGATTCTAGAACCTGTTCTAAGAGAAAAACTTCATGAATGTATGTGCTAAACATTTTAATTTCTGAGATACAGGGTGGTAAATTTTTCTAAAAAAAACTTTTTTTCATAATATCTTTGATTTTATTATAGATATATTTATGAAACTTTATACATGTCTTCTATGCATCAAAATAACTTTTTTGGTGTACAAAATATTTTATTTATTTTAACCAGTGCTGTCCATACGGGTTTTACATTGAATATTTTTGGAGAAAAAAGTAGTACACCGCTGACTTCTCTTAAAATAAAAATTATTTTCAAAATCTCCATTCATTTCTAATCATTTTTTATTTCTTGATTTTTTTCGTCCGATGCATAGTTTTTGCTTAAAAAAATAAAGTCAGTTTACTTCAAATGCTCTCCTAATCTTTAAAACTTTTTTTTGTTAGCATTTAATAATATTTTTGTGCTAAATTCGACAAATTTGTAAAAATCTATTTTCGTGAAAGTGCAAATTACATGTGTGCTATCTAGGGAATGCAATCCCGCACCAAAATCTCAATACCGCAAACCCGCGGGATTAAAGCAACCAATCCCGCGGATCCGCAAAATTGCGGGATTGTAAACAATAAATGCTCTTCTTTTCTCTCTCCGATTTTGGGATGCGGTTTGGACCAGGTTTTAGACGCATCTATTGTGATTAAGATGCTATGTGGTTTTTGAAAATATATTTAGCGGGATCCAGCATGTGCGGGATTGCATTCCCTAGTGCTATCTCTTAGCAACGTGCTAGCAAATCACAAAGTACACTATTGTCAATAACATATTTATGGATAATAGAGTAATTTTATTATATCTCTAGAGATACTTGGCTTGCGTAAAAAAAAATTCTACCGTCCAATTTTTTTCTCAAAATAGTAGAGTCATTAGATTTAGTATATCTTAGCCGTAATAACAATAAATACATTTCAATAGTCGCAGTCGTGGCAAATAAGTCACTGTTTACATCATCTTATTAAATCATACTGTCATTTATACACATTTTCTTTCAGAATGGATCAAGATGGCAGTCTGAATATTAGTTATGATGAATGGCGGGATTTTCTACTCCTTGCCCCAAGTAATAATATTCAAGATCTTATTACTTACTGGAGACACTCAACTGTAAGTTTTATTTTTGTAATATTTTTTCTAATATATCTGTTTATTTCTGAAACCTTTTGGAAATATAGACCACTGAAATATAAAATTAAAAACTCAAAATATTGTTACGGATTCCTTGGGTCCTTTAATTCAAACTCACGATGAAACACTTGACAAAATTATTTTCTAACTAGAAATACAATCACTACAATACAACAGACTATGAATTCTAAGTAACGATTTTCTAGGCACCTTCGCCAATTAGTCCACAACTCAGTATTACAGAGCACTATTCAAAAATTGACTAACTGTCGAGCGCGGGCAGTGCTCTATATACCGTAACGAATGGTCCCGAAAGTTCCATTCTAGATCTCCATCGAATTCCTTTTGTTTCTCGAAATTTCCGCTGTCTGGATGTCCAACCAATATCTAAGAGATAGCGCCCTACTCGATCCCCGCCAAGGTCGCCACACACAATGTAAACATGCTTAGTTATGGTTTTACGCTCATCCGACAGATGTCCTACACCTTGACAAGATAGTAGAGTTGCGATAACATGAAGTTGTGATAATATAGGTCTCCCAGAACGCTAAATTACTTATATCTACACGAACGCTCTACCGATGAAATTTTTAATATTTTATCGGTAATAAGCTATGTAAATTTTAAGATTAAACTTCTAATTCCATCTAGCAAAATATGGTATATTAATAAGCCAATTCTTTGGTGTGAATTCACGACGAGTGGCACATCGTTCCACGTATTTGGTATATATTTATCCCCATTCGAACGGGTTAATTTCTCTAAATTCATTGGGTTATATGCTTTTGCACAACATCTATAAAATTAAAAACTAAGTTCTTATGACTGGATCATATGATTGGGACTCGACCATACGATTAAAACGGACGTGACGTCATCACTAATGAGAATTTTGATTTCTATGATTGGCCGATAATTCTTGAAGTAGTATTCCTACAAACAAAAGTCATTTCGGACAGCGGTCATCTAACAACGATGCGCTGTAAATCATATTGGTTTAAGTTTAAGGAAATGCATTGGAGGGAAGGCGTTCTGTACAGATATACAGTATAGTACATCTGTCGTCAGTTCTCTGTTAGATAATAGAGAACTGAGGTTAGATATTTTTGTATTAAAGATTTTTTTAAACGGAACAAGCCTGCTAAAGATCGTATAGCTTAAATATCAAAATTGGAGATTATTACAGATGTTACATATTAATGAGAAAACATATATATGACTTTGTTACAAAATTAAGATCTGTAAAAAGTCTTCCAGTAGTCCATTATAGTTGTTCCTTAATTTAACTTTTAAAAAGTTTCCAAAAAATATTTAAAATTTTTGAAATGTATGAATGAATATATACATTACCCATAAACTTTTAATAAAGCTCTAAGGACAAAAAGTTTATTGTTAATTGATGCGTCATTTTATCAATTTAATACTGTATCTTGAGCTCTAGTTTAAACTAGTTTTGTTTAGATATTTTACTTGACATTATTAAACATTTATTTAAATATGTAGCCAACTTTAAGTGGGTGAACTTGTGAATACATACATCCTTTTTCTTTGAATGAAGATTAAGGTAGATTTTTAAGTAATACGTTAAACGATAATTTAAAGGTCTCAAAAATCTATTGTTTTTCTATTTTGAAAACTAATATTTTAGATTATATCAAAAACTAGATTTCTTTGTTTATTCTACTAACTTTAATTTACTTATCAATCCAGCTGTTACAGCCTGTCCAACGAATCAATTATTTTCAACAAGTTCAAGTAATTTTAGTATTTGTTCATGAGTCCAATTCAATTTGGAAGCCATCGTCTAACGTAACTAGTGAATATTTAAAATAAGTTAAAACCACATCTACATCACTGATCATTGGTTATATTATGACGTGGTATTAACTAGTGCTTTATTAGGATTGAAAATTCCACATAAAAAATATATTTTCAAACTTAAACTCACTTTGAGATTTAAATATTATCTACCCAAGTTATTAACCAAATTAAGTAACATTAAAAACTGATACTAATAGTAAATAATGTATAATGTAGAATGTTTAGGAGGGGAGTTAATCACCGCGACCTTACAGATCTATTGTGTGTTCCCCTTTCTTGAGTTATAACGAGTTATAACTCATCATACAGTCTCAAGGCTTTAACAAAAGCCAGTATCTGAGACGGCTCCACAGAGGCCAGTTCTCCATCCTCGACATCAGCCGTACCAAAGTTCATGGCACGAATGGTCGTCCTCTCGGTACACTCAGTGATAAGGTGTTCTGGTGTTTCCCCATCTTCCGCACAGAATCTGCATTCGCCGTCATTTCTCAGCTTCAGCCAACTGAGGTGTTCGTTGAGGAGACAGTGTCCTGTTAGAAAGCCCGTGACAATCCGAAGATTGTTTTTACTTAAATCAAGGAAAACCTTTGATTGTTCTCGGTCGTAAGTTCTGAGGAACTTTTTCGAGTGTCTTAGACCGTTGGAGGATACCCATTCCAAGTTACGGATGGAGTCTTCCAGATTCTTCAGTTCCGCTTTCAGTTGGTACCCGTTTGGAAAACAGAACGGTTCTGGTCCAGTTAGTGGAGTGTTCGCTCCTTTCCTAGCTAGATCATTTGCTTTTTCATTGCCTTTTATCCCTTGGTGAGCAGGCACCCAGAGTAGGAGGACTTTATTTTCTTTGCCTAATTTGTTGAGCTTCTCTAGGTATCTTTGACCAACTTCGAATTGATGGTTACTGAGTTGATCGCGTTTAGTGCTGCTTGACTATTGGATAGGATGGCAATTTCCTGTTTTCGATAGTTCCTATCTAAGATAAATTGTACGCATCTTTCGATAGCGTAAATTTCTGCCTGAAGGATACTGGGGTAGGTGCCCATTGGTTCGGAGTATTTGGTTTTCGGCCCAAATGCCCCTATTCCTGTCCCTGCTTTGGTTTTGGAAGCATTAGTATACCACGTTATGGTATGGTTTTTTATATGCTGAGTAAGCGTTTCTTCCTTCCACTCCTTTTTATTACTCAATACTACAGTGAGGTGTTTCTCAAAGTTGTAAATTCTTGGTATGTCATCCACTGGGAGTTGGAGAAGTGGAATTTTCTTTTTGAGGGTGTTCCAAGCCCCTGACCTGAAAATTCTCTCAGTACTGTTACCGTCAATGACCATTCTAATCATTGTCGCATTGGCATAACTACAGACGACAATGTGCAGTGATGTTAGGTCTAAAATGACCTCCATTGCTGCTGTTGGACCATCTGTTCTCATGGCACCTGTGATGCGGATACATGCCAGTCTCTGTACTTTGCACAGGTTTTGCCTTGCTGTACGTTGCTCTAGTTTTGTTTACCAAGCAACTGCTCCATAGGTAATCATGGGTCTTACTATCATGGTATACATTCAGCGTAGAATGTTAGGGGCGCAGTTATTTCCCGCCAGTTTTCTGCATATCATGAGAGCCTTTATGGCTTTGCTGGTAATGTTCTTAATATGCCTGTTCCAGAGAAGTTTACTATCCAGTGTTATTCTCAGATATTTCACTTCCTGTGATGGCAGTATTTCCTTTTCATCTAGATGGATTCTTTTCGAGTTTTTCAAACTTCGCTTTCTGGTGAATGGCACTACCGCGGTTTTAATAGTAAATAATAGTATTTAATAAAGTAATAAGTACCTAACCATTATACTTACGTACTTCATACGTACCTCAGTAATAATAATTATTGTAATATGATGGTTTTTATTTGTCTTTTGTCAAATGCAACCAGGCTGCCACGTCAAAATTCTCAATCAAACAAATAGTTTTTGCAGCGTCCGCAATTCCTAAAAATTCTATTCACACGTCGCTACTTTTGATGTTGCAGGCGGCAAAGAAATACCGCACATTGATGACCTGCGCTTCATGCTTTTGAGGGTAGCAGGCGTGTTCATATCAGGATTCACTAAAGTTGCGCAGTTTTTCATACACCAGTGCAGTAAAAGCTGCTAAATGCAGCATTGTCGAGAAGGGCAAAAGGATCCTCTGTTTAATGGAATTTTATAAAACTTTTAATTACTATAACTAAAAACTGAGTTAAATTAATAACTAAATCCAGTAAAATCCAATAATGAAACAAAATATAGGTAATAAGGATCTATCATACATCTGTATAATCTTATAATCTGCAATTTATTGAGAATATATTTTTATAATACTGTTATAGTACAGTTTGTTTTATGTTGTTTTACTATTATCAGTTTCTATAATGAACAATAGTATTTGCAAAAATTTTAATAACTCTCTTTTAATAGGAACTTTATCGGGTGAAATAATATTTTTGCTACCGCATTTGACTATATTTCTAATGAGGGCTCTCACTACCAGTTTATACATGTAAGTAATTTATCCATCTTTTTGTGGTGTGTTTAACGTTATTGTGGATTTATGTTCAATTTCTAACGTGGTTAAATTTGTAGTTGTTCTTTTTAGTAACATTAGGTATTTGGTTAAGATTTTAATTTTAACTACCACTTTATTATGTGTTTAATGCCATTTCGGATTTACATCACACACATTTTTCTGAAAACGCTATTAATAATAGAAAAATAATTAAATCTGGTAAATTTGTTATTTTTGAGATTTTCATATTATTTAGAAGTAATTTATTTGAGTTATAAAATAGTTTTCGAGCAATTTTTCTATTTATTTAAAAAGATCAACTGTTTTCCTCTATTTAGTTGTTTTTGAAATATACGAAAAATACACAAATCAAAAATCTAATTGCTATGCATTTGATTGACTATTGGAAGCAGTCATTTCAGTATACACTCAATGAATATTATTGATCGACTTTTTAATATTTTTTTGTTGCGAAAATGTCCGTTTTTATCAGTAGTATCCGCGTTGTATATACAGTTAGAAAATATTATGTTTTTTTTTAATTAAATCTACATGAAAACAGCTATAATTTAACTTTTAATTACTAATGCTTTGCTGGTTTTAAAATATATAAATATAATAACGGT